TATTCTAATTTCAAAGAACTTCTATCTATGTGGCAACGCAAAAAAAGTACCAAGACCTCAAATTCACAGCCAACTTATTCACAAATGCAACCCATGCCATAGCAGCAATGGCATCTTAGAAAACGGAGAAAATGCATAATCTATGGGAGGAAAGATCAGTGCACAAATGTAAAACTTTCCACTTGGGTTACAGTCTCAGTGCATTGATGTATAGTTTTTCATTTGGGTTATAATCTCAAATGCCACAGAAAAGATTGTTTTCCTTTAATTTGGGGCCTACTAGAAGGAGGACAAGCGTTAAAGTTGAGAAAAATGAAGAAATTTAGGGTTTGGTGAAAAGGAAGAAATACTTAATTATGTGGCAAATTTATAGCTCATGTGATAATTTGTTTAAATTAAAAGCTTATGTGGCATCTTACATGGCTGCTTACGTGGTAATTATGTTATTTTGATGAAATCTGTTAAGTGACTACATTTGATAAATTTTATAAATTTAGATGACTTTATTAATACAAATAAAATATGAATGACCCATTTGATATTGTGATGATAGTTTAGTGACTAGAGGTGAAATTTACTCCATATATTTTAGGCAGCACACACCTTAGGAAAAGCTGGATAAAAAATGCTTGAAAAACAAAAAGAATGTCAAAATGCTTGAAAACTTGGAGACTGAAGCTTTGATGTGTTCAGGTGAAACCAACAGATTTGGAAGTCCAATTACGCTTTCACCAGAACGAGGTGAACTGCCTCTAGTATGAGATGGCTTAGGATTTGGACGCCCAATTGTGCTTTCACCAGAACAAGGTGAACTAACTCTCTAGTGGAAGATGGCTTTGGGCATTTCATTTTAGCAAAGGATGAAGGTGTTCTACGATCTATGAATCCCTCACTTTTTAGAAACTGTAAAAATATTGGGCACTTGATTTTGTAAGTATCTAGAGTAACAGTGTTTCCAGCAGGATTGGGTACTGATATTATGGAGATATTACAAAACTTGATTTCATTTGCATTGAGAATCTATCCTTGCAAGTAAATAAATTAATGCCTTTGAAGGATATTTCTGGTAAATGTATTCATTTGGTCAGTTCGATTAATTTCAAACTGAATTACTCAAAATCAAATTAATCGAATTATATTATATTATTTTTATTAATTAAATAATTTTTTTTAATTTCAAAAATTAATTGAACGAAATTAATTAAGTCAGTTTGATTAATTTTTTTGATTAACCGAATAATAAAATATATTAAATTATATTATATTTTAAATTTTTATTTTCTCATATGTGAAATAAATTAAATAAAATATCTAACAAAAATATTTAAACACCCAAGTATTAAGTTAAAATTTCTAATAACTTGAAATGAAATGGATTATTTCATACATTTTTAGTTTTATATATAGATTCTACAATATGTCAATTAAAATTTTAATTAATTCGATTTTTGAACCGAATTAATCAAAAGCTGAAATTTTTTTAATATTATTTTTTATAATCAATCGAAATTAATTCGGTAACTAACCAATTAGTCGAATTAAATCGATTTGGTAGGTTAATTCGATTAAAACCAAATTATAAATACTTCTAATTACTGGAAAAAGATTGTAACAAATTGTGCTAAAAGCTGCACTTAATGTTGTTGTGCTAGAAAGGTATGTAATTATGTTAATTGGTTGAATTTATGCACAAATCTAATCTTCAAATCCTCAAATTCTTTCTTTTTTTAATTTTTCTGTTTTGTCCCTGTTTTGTTTCTTTATATGCCTATTTTATTAACTTAAAATTATTATTTGACAGGTGAATCGAGTTGCAACAAGAATCACTATGTGAGCAGGATTCATTTCATAAGAGAAAGGAAGTTGAAGGATTTCAGTTTTGTTAATGATAATCTGAGCTCAAGCCTCATAGGTGATGAAATGGACTCAGGTTGTGTATCCCTAGAAAAGCTTGCTCCATCTGCCATGACTTTGTGCAAACATAATTTTTTTTTTTCTCTTACTAATTATATATTTAATCTTCTTGATTATTATGTTATACCTGCTTTTAGTGTTTAAACAAAAAAAGGTGCACCCACAGCATAGCATGCACATTATACTAGTTAGAAATATTTTTGCAAGTAAAAACCAATGTTTCATTTTATATCTTTAAATATATATACATATATATATATATATCACTCAATTATAAAAAAATTCATATTCGAATGAATTCAAATTTAAATTTTTCAAGGTAAGTTTTGGGTTTAAATTCATTCGGCTACTTCTATATATAATGAGCATAAGAAATTTGCTTAGTTTTAAAAATCTATTCTCTCATTCAACGTATATTAATTCAACGTATATTAATTTTTATGAAATTACAAATATAAAAGAAGTGATAATTATAATCAAATATTTATTTATATATAAAAAATTATGAAATAATCAAAACAAACAAACCAATTAACAAGCCGAATAAATTTAACATAAAGTTGAACCTAATTTACACATAATAAAACTTAAACTTAAATTTTCAAGATTCTAAAATTTTCTCCTTACCATTAAACCAAAGTCTTATTTGAAAATATATATTAATTTTTGAAACATGTTTGATTTTTTTACAATCAAATTTTATCAACTTTAATAATTGATATTTTACGTATTTCAATAAATTAATTTTTTTATGAAATTTTATTTAAAATTTTTTTCATTCAAAGTTTTTGGAAAGAATCTTTTTATTTGTTAATTAACAATATGTTTAAAATAAAATCAAAATAAAAAACTGATCCCTAAAGGTCAAATTAAAACAAGATTCATGAGACTAGCCTGTAAATAAGCTGACGCCTAAAGTTGTGTGGGTCGTATCTGCGAGTAAGCAATCGCACATCATTCATTTTTCTTGACCACTTGGAGCATATTCAGAATTCTCTTTCTGATTTGACGGCATTTGCCGAGGATATTTTGGCTCAAGGCCAATTTAGTGTTTTCACCTCAACTAATTAAAAAAACTAATTTAATTAGAACCATCTTCACGTGTAACTGTGGGCACGCCTTAATAATACCGGAAGTAATTATCACTCATTGTCTCGTCTTAAAAAATTAAATTCCACCCCAAATGCGTGCCAATTAAAAATATTCATGGGTTGGACCAGACTGTATTTAAAAAAAATTATATTGGATATTAATAATTTATAAATTTATTTAAATTTAATTTCGATTCAATATGATATTTTGAGTTTAAAATTTTTTTAAATATATTTATTAAATTTAATTTATATAATAAAAAGTATTTTTTAAAAATATTAAAATAAAAATTTATATATATTTATATAATTATAATAATCTAATTATATTTATAATATTTGAATTAAGTTTAGATTTTAATTTTTATGTTTAAGACTCGGTCTAAATTTAAACGGATCTTAAAATTTTATCAAAACTCTTTAATAAATCTTAATTTTTTATTCAAATATTTTCAAAATTTATACAAACTTTTAAATCCGGATGAATAACCTTGAGCAAATTTAACGTCAACTAGTCATTTTGAAGAACATGTCACGGTACTCAAAGAGGCTAAAATACATTTTTAAATTTATAATTTTATTTAAACAAATTTTATATTTTTATTATATTTAAATATATTTTTTTAATTTACATCTAAATAAATTTTTAATTTTAATTTGTATTTAAATGAGTTCTTAAATTTTTAATTTATATCTAAATAAAACCTCTAACATAAATTATTTTTATTTAAAATAATTTTATATTTTAATACAAATTAAAATATAAAATTTCTTTAAATATAATAAAATTTTATTTTAAAATATAAAATAATTCGAAAGCATTTTACTATTTCAACCTACCAAAATTTTATCTGATGTGCTGCATCAAAAGACGCGAGCAAGAGTACAAGGAAAAGTCCAAAACTCTTGAGTCCCTAAATCTCTTCCTGGACAAAAAAAAGAATTGAAGACTTGGACAAAATTGGCCCACCCCTTTAACGTTTACGGTCACCCAACTTGCAATGCCTCATTTGCCATTAAGGAGAAAGAAACAAAAGGAAAATAAGCTACGGGTAGAAAAGTTTACCAAAGGCAAAGAAAGTAAAAAGTCCACATATTGAACAAGCAAGCTAGTAGTGAGGTTAATAGGTGGGGTATAATATCGATAGAATATTTTTATTTTTATTTTTTATATTATATTTATCTTTTATTTATAATTAATAGATATTTTAAATTTATTTATATATTTTATAAGTATTTAACAAATACGAATAATTTTTATACTTGTAATTTTAAAAAAATTATTTTTTAATTTTTTAATTTTTTCTTGTATATTTATATAATTTTTTATAAATATAATTTTTAAATAAAAATATATTAATTTTAATTAATCTAAAATAAAATTTTATATAATTAAATAAAAAATTTATTTACTATATATATATATTACGACACGAATAATATATTATTCATCTCTACATTTATACCTGATAAAAAATTTAAAATCATATTCATTTATATTCTTATCTTAAAATTTAATATTTATTCTTATCTCTATTAAGATAAAAAAATTTAAATTTTTTATCAAATTTAAATAAGATTAACATTACTGCATGCTAAAAAATCTTGGCTAATTTGAAGCCACCAAACCCAACATATCGTTTATGTTATTTACCCTCGTATCCATTCTGGACACAAACAATCCTTTTAGCATTCAGACGCATGATTTGTTTCGGTGTAACAGTAGCTGAATGGAGTTGATGAAATACCTTGGTCTTCAATTCCTTCTAACACAATTGGATTCGAAAATTATTATTATTATTATATATAAGAAAGCATTATGATTCGAATTTGTTTAGTACAGACGAGGGAAGCCTACGAGGCAAAGGGATTTGAACATTGGATATATCTCAACACAAACGAGAGCAAACAAGTGAAATGCTTAAGTAAATAAAAGGATATATAATTTGAGATGTTATTGATTGAATGTCCACACTCCCTAACATAGAGCTTGCTTCATAGTTGATCTTCTAACTGAGGAAACTGTTGCAGTAGCCACGTTGTGCTCTTGATGACTACCTATATATTCAAATAAAGCACCTAGTCAAATAAAAGAAGTATGAAAATTTTACTTAACGAGTTGTCTTTAGTATGAATGGGCAAATGGTAACGAGTATTACAATTTTTTCAGGGAGTTGTCTATCATGATTGTTTCATTTGGATAATTCATGTGTTTGAGATTTCTCTTTTTCTAGTTGCCTTAATTTGTTCTTTATTTCCATATTGGAATAACTACACTTTTGGTGTTCAAACTAAAATAAATTATTGAATTTGGCATCTAAAAAAAAATGTGCAATTAATTACTCGAGTTATAGTTTCGATTATTAATATAAATATATATTATATAACAACATATATAGAAGTCATAACTCTTTTAAATGATACATAAGACAATTTTTTTAAAAGTATAAGATAATTTTTTTAATTACAAATTAATAATTTTAAATTTATTCAAATATCAAAATTATTCAAATTATAATTAAAAATCAAATCAATTTAGAGATATATATTCTAAAATTAAAAATATGAAATATGAAATTTATTTTTTTAATAAATAATTGTAGTTGTTTACCAAATAACTTTATTTTAAAAATTATTTAATTATCAAAATCTATCAAACATGTTTAAAAATTACAAAGTTTAAGTTTATCTAAATCTTTCAACAATCTTTTTTATCTTGATTTAAAATTTTTTATTTAAAAAATTATCTTTTAAAAAAATTTATTTAAGACATTAAAATTTCAAATAATTTTATGTAAGATTTTGAAAGTTTAAAAAATTTTCATCTTAAATCTTTAAATAATAAGATTATCAAAATGATTATATCCATTTGAACTCTAATTATTAAATTTATATTTTAAATAAATGCAACAAATTTAATATTATCTTTATCACTTATTATATCCATTTTAAAATTTAAAAACTATCTATTTAATCCTAATTGTCACTACAGAATTCTTCTACATATTTAAGACTACAAATATAATGTGTTATACATTAATTTTTTTATTTTTTCAATAACTTTTTTAAGGCATACTATATTACTATTGCAATTTATTTCTTTTTTTTTTGTTTATAAATTTTTTCTAAGATATATTTTATTGTTATTATAGTTTCATTCTTATGAAAAATAATTTTTTTCAATTTATTTTTTCTTTTTTCACATATTTTTTAACATTTTCATATTTTGTATAATAATTTAGTCAAGATTACTAAAATGAAAGTGTGTTATTACTTCTTTTATTATTTAATTTATCATTCAATAATACATATATTTTCTAAAAAGACATAATTTATTTTTATTTGACATAATTTTACATGTGTATAAATATTATTGTAAACAAAAATATCCAAAGGAAATACATATTTTTTTTGCTATTTTCAGAAAATTTATTTTTTAATGACAAATCAATATATATAAATTTTATATGTTATGAGTTTTAAATATTTGAATATAATTTTAAAAAAAAAAAACTAATTTGTATATATCTATATATGTACATATTAAATAAATAAAATTATTTCGTACATTGCATGGGTTATAATATAATTTGACTAACAAAGTAATTGGCAAAATGTTCAATTTGCTTAACAAAATGAAAAATTAAATATTTAATTGTGAATTTTTTAAATACAAAATTATAATTTTTCAATTATATTAAGTATATATCAAATGTGTAATTAATCCTTCATATTTAACTCTTGCATTTTGTTATGCTTTAAAATCACTCAAAAGGATATGTATGGGAATAGAATTAACTCTCTTGTTTTCAGCTTTCGTATTTATTTCCTTGTTTGTTTTTTACTAATAATTATTATAATGACTCCACTTTGTTACAGCCCAATTGCGGTTATTTATTGTAGCCAAAGCTCCAAGCTTTTTAAAAGTCTTTAGTATGTATAATTAATATTAAATAAATTTAAGTTGATTCTCTAAATTAATGCTATTAATTTATATTTTTGTGATTTTAAATTTTAATTTTATGTATTATTGTAATTTAAAAGGAATTAAAATTATGTTGTTATGTGTTTATTTATTGTATTCATAAATCGTCAATTTATAAACTTTTAAAATCGACATAAAGATTTGTAATAAATTAAATTTTAAATCACAATCATATAAAGTTAACAAAAATCAAATTAATTTTTTAGCTTTTTCAGCAAAATTTCATATCTCCAACTAAATATTAAATATGTATTTTTTATCATTCTAGCTTATTATAATATCTTTCTATATATAATTTTTATTTTTAATTTCAGTCTAAAATTTTATCTCATATTATCCTAAAATTTTTTTCAACAAAAAAAAAAAGATTGGAACCGCTTTATAGAAGGTTAAGAAAAAAATCGTAATTTCTAGTCTCAAAATTTTAATTTCATTCTTTTAAAATTATATTAATTTTTTTGTTTTGATAAAAATATATTGTTTAATGATTAGTTTATTTATATTCTTTACTTCAATTATAAATTTCTAAAAAAGTAAAAATTTTAATAATTCATTGAAAGATAGTGTAATTAGTAATTTTACAATTAACTTAAAAATCTTATTATCTTTAAAATTTTAATGTTATCATACTAATACTTTTATTTTATTATTTTATAAATTAGTTACTTTTTATTAATATAATTATATGTGTGTACATGCACATACACATATATATATAACATATAATATATTATTGATTGATCATTAAATTTATACATCAAGATCCGTCACACTCCTATTTTTAACTTTTGAGTAGCTGATAGGTTATGGATGTAACAAGTGAATGGTGATTTACGTACCAAACCAGCCTTGCCAAGCTTGATTAACGATTCAGCAGCGTCTCGTCCATAACTGTTCACAACAAAATAATTTATAATCTCTTTGCCACTACATACTGTACATTAGAAGTTAGAACCACACTTATTATCAAATCCAAAAATTACTAGAATTTGGCAAATCTACTGTGTGGGTGAAAGAAAAAAATAAGTTAAAAAAAATTATGAGAAAAAAATAAGTGAAAAAAAAAGTTAAGTTAATTAGGGGTGTTCATAATTTAATTTTAACTAAATTAATCAATTAAATTGATTTAATTCGATGCATTGATCGGTCATTGAATTAATTTTGGTCGGCTAATGAAAATGATTTTAAAAAAAATCTCAATTTTTGATTAATCCGATTTAAAAATTAAATTAATCCAAATTTTAACTAAAATACAATATAATCCAAAAAATTATTTAATACACTGACAGTGAAGTTTTTTAACTCTACAAATGGGATTAAGATGATGACACATATTTCTTATATATTTAAAAAATTAATTTAAACAAGAAATAAAATGTGTTATAAAACTTAATTGTCAGTATATCAAATAATTTTTTTATAATCCAAATATAAAATGAAAAATACATTAAATTGATCATTTTATGTTATAAATTATTAGAGTTTTTAACATAGTACTTTAATATTTGAATATTTTGTTTGATAATTTTATTTAATTTATTTAACTTATAAGAATTAAGAGTTTAAAATATAATTTAACTTAAACGTATTTATTATTCGATCAATCAAAAAAATTAACAAAAATTGATCAAATTAAATTAAATTAGTTAATTTTTTAAATTAATAAATCCAATTCGATTAACAAAAATAAAATAATATAATTTGGTTAATTTGATTTTAAACAATTCAATTAGAAATTAATCGAAACGACCAAATAAACACCTTTAATGTAACTATAAAAGTAACATTGGAAATAATTATTCAAATATCCAAAGATTTAGCTAGAGATTTATTTGAGATTTTTGGAGATTAATTAAATATTATTTAATTGATTTAAAAAAATTGTAAAAGAAGAATTCTAAAAAAATGATTTTTGATAAGTAAGTTAACATGCTTATAAATAATGAGTCTCAATAGAGTTATATATAAGAGAAAATTATGAAAAAAATTATAAAGTTTTACCAGGATAAACACCTCGTAAAATCAAAGGGGATTTAAAATGACTACATGGGTATGTATATATGTTTGTTTGATATAAAAATATTTTATAGGACTAAAAGAGATTTAGAGAGACCACATGGATATGTATATATATTGGTTTAGGATGAGAATACATTATAAGATTTAACGAGAATGAGAAATTTTATGGATATTGATTATGAGCAATTATATTTGTAATTTTTTACAACTAGTAAATTTTTTTTTTCATTTGTGAAAGTAGATAAATTAAGTATCGAATCACATTAAATCATTATGTAAATAATTATTGGTTTAATTACACTTCTACTTGAATGTTTAATCGATTTTGGGTTTTTTACCTATCTATTAAAAGTGGTGAATAGTTTTTGAATTGAATGTCTTTATATATTTAATTACATTTATATAATTTATTTTATATATTTACCATGATCGATGTAATTTAGATTTTATGTCTATTTATTAACTGAGTTAATCTCTTTGGATTCAATAACACTAAAATCATTAGCCATTTTATTAATAATATAAGATAATTAATCACTTGTTAAGAAAAATACTATCGGTCTCACTACTTTTATATTTGTCAATATGTGTAACTTACCTGATATGATAATAATTTATTAATTTAATTATAATATTTTATTTATTAATTTATTATTCACAAATTGGCACAATTATACATATAAATTTATCTAATAACTATAAAAGAACAAAAATATTTTTTAAAAAATTAAGGCAAAGTAGCATGACTCATTATTCAACTGTCAATGTATTATAAACAACATACAAGAACATCACTTACACTATTTGCCTTTTGCCATCTACAATCTCTAGCTGATAAAAACTGCAACCTTTGCTATAAGGTAAAGCCTTTCCCTTCCATTCTGTTAAATGTGAATTCAATTAATTTAATAACAAAGGCCAAAAAAAAAGGATTTATTCTTAAATGGTTCTGAAATTTTGTCAAATTAAAAAAATTCTGGAATTTCAACATACCAAAATGCCATGCAACTCCAACAGTGGATGAATCCAGGTTAGTAGACGACGTCATATCATCAATAACGTGTTGCAGGTCCATGCTCATGGCATCTATGAAACTTTTGTAGCCTTCTAGCAATGCCTAACCATATAATTAACTAATTGAAATTTTGAATCTTAGAAATTTAAAAAACAAAATTATTAAACCAAATCAAAGAATGAAATGACACCAGAAAATCTACGACCCAACTTGCTTTCACAATTATTGTTTCTTTAGAAGGAAATAATGTGTTAATTAGATCTTGTCTAATTGGTAAGAGGAAGGTTTGAAACTTTGAGGTATAATGTAAGTTAAAAATATTAGATTTATCTAATTATATGATAGTTTTTTTATAATTGAATTGTTTATCAATTTGATTGATTTAATTCAATGTTTTATTATATGAACATAATATTATTTATGAAACTAACTTTTTTGTACCTAATTGTATGAAAAAAAAAAAAAGGAATAATGCATTTATATATAAAAATAAATGAAAAAAAAAAGAATCTAGTTAATGAAGTTTTGGTTTAATGGCAAAAAAAGATTTTAAAATCTTTGGCTCTACTGAAATTATTTAATTATATTCTAATTTATTTGTTGATTATTTAATAATTTTTTGTATTAGATTTAATATTTTATTATGCTTATAATTTCTCTTGTATACATGTTTTTTATTAAAAAAAATCTAAATTGATTACTTGCTTAATATTTAAGACAAAAAAGAAAAAAATAATTGTTTTAATAAGTTAAAATTAAAAATTAAATTTCGTAAGTATGGTTCATATTGTGGGACATATATGTAGATGTCCATGTGATTGCTACAATTTATATTAGATGAACATCCACGTGATACTAAGGTGATATATTCCATTGAATTGTTAACTTAACTGAAGGAATAAATGAGTTTGAAACATATTTAAAAAATCAAGAATCACTGACAAATTATTAATTTAATTAGTTAAGATTTATTTTTTTTGACGAAAAAATCTTTGATTCGAATTCTATCGGTAATTATTTGTTAGGATCATCTCAATGCACGATTTATATTCATTTATCTTAAGCTGTCAGATATGATACATTTTATTTTTATCTAAAAGATTGAACAATTTATTTATCTCAAATTTTTTTTAATAAAAAAACCGAAAATCTAAAATTTGATTTTTAAAATCATGGATAAAATTGAAGTATCGTACAAAATCACAAATGTTTCGCAAAATTTACTAAAATAATCTTATTTCAGCCAAAAAAAAAACCCTTTATCAAACACACCGATATCAGTCTATCAGACACCATATCTTAATCATCAAATGAGAAAAAAAGTCTTATAATCTAGACCAAAAGAAAGAATTCAAGCGATTAAAGAGTACATGGAGGATCGATGTTGATAAATACCTTGCGACCGACGATCGGACGAGAAAACATTATAAGGTCTTCATACACGCAATTCTCAGCAACTAAGAGCTCTAAGGATGCGAGATCATGGGTATTAATTCCTGCGTAGAAACTTTTGATAACCTCCCCTACATCCTGTGATTGTGATGTCGACGGAACGTCCACCTTCCGATCATTTTCGGAACATGAGACCTTGATCAAGTTTTGAAGGGTCGATGTTGGTTTCCTGCCGCTTCTCCAGGGAGCAATTACGGGGTTTGTTGAGTTAGGAAAAACTTTGTTCCATTGAAGGAGAATAGTGGGTGGGGAATGGAGGGGAATAATTATAGAGCTAATTAGCAGCATTATTGATAGATTTACTTTGGGATGAGTCTAAGCTTTGGACTCTGTTTCTAATTTCCTATTTCCAGTGAACTCTTCTGTTCTAAATGCGGCCATCGTACGTTAGGAGCCGACCAAAATCATTAAAACATTGTCGAACAATATTAAATTTTTTATAGATTAAACTATGAGATTTAAAGAGGTTTAAGACTCAACTTTTATTATACGTGAATTTGTTTTAATTTTATATTAATTTTTTTAATTATATTTTAATTTGTTGACTATTTGTTTAATTATTTAATTATATAATACTTAATTATAATTGTAATTTATATTTAGCTATAAATATGTAATTTTATAAAAAAAATTAATTTGTATATATAACACATGCATTATTTTTAAAAAAAAAAGTGTTCCAACTCATAAATAATAAATATTAAAATTTATCTTATTTATAAATAATTAAATTGTTAGAGAATCGAGTTCTTTTATTTTAAAAAAGTTATTTGAGTTTTTAATAAAATATTAATAGTTATATGATCAGTTGATATAATGCTTGATTTTTAATTATTATATTATTAAAATTTAATCCCTAATAATCTCAAACATAAAAATAAAAATCACTCGAATGTTTGAAAAAAATAATATTTTTAAAATGTATATTTATGCATATGAAGAACTGCGGAAAAACACATGATACAAGTCGATAAAATTAAGATGATTTTTGTTTAGATTCATAAATCTGCTTGGTCATATTTCTTGTTTTGATTTGAGGCTGCAAGCATGGGAGGATAGTACAATTGAGAGGTCTGAAATTTAGTTGGTCGAGAGCCATACGACTTTCTTTTGCAATTTGCTTGGAGCAAGTGTGAAATGTGAATCAATGAGTTCATCTATAAGCACAATATTGGGGAAAGTAGTACAATAGTTTAGGATTTTTTTGACTTACTAAAAGGCCAAAAGGCAGGCCTCAATGCCCCAGGTAAATACTCCAAGATTGGGCCAAATGAGGCTTGGTGCATGAATATTTTTTTATTTTTTTAAATTATAAAAATAATTATTATAGAATAAAATATTTTTAATAAAATACATATGATTTTAAAATTTCATATACGATTCTACCAAATATAACAATTAAGCATTTCAAATGTATTATTTATTTATGTATTTAATTTATTCAATTAAGTATATAATCATGTCACATCTCTATTTGAAAAAAAATCTATTTATATTAGTGTAAATATTAAAATTTTATATTCTTTTTTGACCCTCAATTAATTCAAAATTAAATTTATAGTTAACTTGGATCGAAATAATATATTTAATTTAATCATAGATTTAAATTTCATCTAAAAATTAAAATATATATAAAAAAAACTTTTTAATAGTTTTATATTGGTGTAAGTAGATTCCTATTCATTTTATTTTATTTTTCTGTCATTTTTTTTTAACATAAAAAGGGTTTTGAAAGATTTTTGAATTAACAAATGGCAGCACAATTAGATGGAGTGACAACACTAAACCATGATATTATACATTTTTATATAGATAGACGAAGTTGAAAAATTAAAAATAAATTTCTATCATAAAGAATAAAATTAAAAATATAAAAATATAAAAAATAATAAAATTAAAATCATAATTATGGATACACAAACTCAAAACTTAATTCAATTAATTTATATTTTATTTTAAAAAAATTTAATATTTAAATCTCAAAATATATAATTTTTATATTTATATTTAAAAAAAAAAAAACCCTTGTAGGAGGAGAAGTCACAGGCACTATTGTACCCGGGGCCCTGTGGGAAAGCTTCAATTATTTTTTTATTCACATTTCACGTGGGGGTTTAATAGTAGTTTACATTATTTTCAATAAGCCTACCCACAGTTCCACTTTCGGTGGGTTTTCCACTATTTATACAGATTAATAATGATGCTATATTATACATTTTTATATAGATAGACGAAGTTAAAAAATTAAAAATAAATTTCATCATAAAGAATAAAATTAAAAATATAAAATATAAAAAATAATAAAATTAAAATCAATTAAATAATTGTGGATACACAAACTCAAAACTTAATTCCATTAATTTATATTTTATTTTAAAAAAATTTAATATTTAAATCTCAAAATATATAATTTTTATATTTATATTAAAAAAAAACCCTTGTAGGAGGAGAAGTCACAGGCACTATTGTACCCGGGGCCCTGTAGGATAGCTTCAATTATTTTTTATTCACATTTCACGCAGGGGTTTAATAGTAGTTTACATTATTTTCAACAAGCCTACCCACAGTTCCACTTTCGGTGGGTTTGCCACTATTTATACAGATTAATAATGATGCTATCCCTCTAAATTTATCTGATCTTATCATCATTTGACTGAAGCCTACTCACTTGCTTCCCCTCTAACCACTACTGTTTGGCCTGCCTAAATAGCAACTAAATTCCCTATGGCCTGGCTACCCGAAAACTCTGGATACATGTAAAAACCTGTTAGGCTCAGTTGAAGTAAACTTTTTTTTCTTTTAATCATGGAGGATATTATCTATAATTATTGTATAAAATTTACCAAAAATTACCAAAATTTTGTATAAAAATTAATTCAAAATCACATAAAATCTATCAAATTTTTGTATAAAAACTAACATTTATAAATGATAGAATTTTTCATATATATATATAATTTTCATATATATATATACATACTTTTTTGTTATTAGACAATTATAAAATTATTGAAATACACCCTACAAACATTTTCATTCATCATTTGACAAGAGTCAAGCATTTCAAATTCCAAATTTGGTTCAGAAAAGAGCAGTATTAGATTATATGGTCATTATTTGGACTATATGATAATTGATAAAATAGGATGATATTCATTTTATTCTATATTTGATTTATATTTAAATAAAATGATTAGATTATAAGGAAGATTAATTATTTTTTTGATAAAAGATAATTCAATTATCTTAGAATGAAAATGATTATTTTTAATCCATTAAATTTATATATCTTATTATATCCTTAAAAATTATATTAATAAATTTAAATTATATTCACTTTGAAAAATAATAATTTTGATCAATAAATAAAACTATCATATTTTATCTAATTATCGCATATATCAAACACAAAAGAAAATAATATTATTTAATTTAATTATATTTATAATATTATTTTATCTTATCTTATAATAATTTTGTGAACAAATATACCATATAATTATTATCTTATATATATATATGCTGTCAACAAATAAAAATTTTAGGTAATTACAAGATTATTATGATAATAATTTATTACTTTTGTGCCGATTTTTTAAAAACATATAGTTACTGCCATCCAAATGTCTTTACCATCTTAATTATCTCTTATTGATTTTCTAAACTTTATCCTAAAATAGAGATAGAAGCTTATCTTCAATATGATTTCATTACATGGAAGGAGAAGTTGTGTAATTTAAATCAACAATCACAACAAATCAAACTTGGCACAAGTGGGTTAATGGAGTTAGAATTGAATATATATATATATATATATGCAAGTATTAATTCTCTCTTATTATATGGAAAAAAGATTCATGGAAGGAAACGAAAAAGAGTATCATGTGAAGAGTGAGTTTGATAAACCATTGAAAAATATTTCGAAAAAAAACAAATAAAAAGAAATAATTAAATATCTTCTTTGTCACAATTTTCATGTGTGAGGAGATACAGTTTTTTCTATCGTGTCAAGATAATATTGAGACAAAAAAAGAGAAATTAAAAATCAATCATGGAATTTTCATGCACAAATTAAAAAAGAAAAAAAAAAATGACAAAGGGTGTACCAAAGTGATGGAGTTGGATAAAAATTTTAAAAATTAGATAATTTTGTTTTTCATGAATAAGATTGTGCAAGAGGGAGATATTTTAAGGGGAAAGGACCATTCCTGATACAACCATCCAGTCCAGCTCATTTGGTTTCAGTAGATTCGATGATGTGACCCAAATAATTCACATGCCCCACTTCTCTCTCAACAACCTTGTCAAATTTTATTTGTTTAAGTATCTAGTTTTCAAATGTGATACTTTGATAAGGACACCAATATTTTCCCACGTCCCGCCACCATGCCCTAACTTCCTCTTTTTCCTACCCCACTTCTCTTTGCCATGGTGTAAAACCAGTCAAATTACTTTTGAGTTATTAAGTTTGACTAAAAAAATTTAAGTAGTCAAATTAAATTCAAGTAGTTTAATATATTATTTAAGGGATTTGTGAACTTAATTAAATATTTTTAATATATTTAATGTTTATATATATAAATAGATGATAAAAATATTATATTTAATATTAATGTTTATAATTTTATCATGCTGAATTCCAATAATTCAATTAAATTATAAAATTGAATTCAAGTAAAAAAATAAAATTCATTCAAACTCAAATCAAAATCTGAACTTCAAATTGGGTAAAGCTATGGTTTTGCAGCTTATCAATTCAATTACCACCTGACTTCTTTACTTCTATTTCTTTTTTCTTTTCTTTTTAAATAATTTCTTTTATATTTTTGTATTTCAAATTACTTAATCTAACATCAACATTAATTATAACCAGATTTTATTAAACCATTTTAATAAGTTTTAAGGTTAATTACATATTTGATATTCAAATTATAATTAATTTTCGATTTGATACTTAAAATTTAAATTTTATATTTAAAATATTTATTTATCAATATAATATCATTACTTAAATGGATGACGTATCCAAAGAAGTCAGTAAAATTGTTACATATAATATTAAGTGCAATAATTAATCAATATTTTAAAAAAAAAACTTATTAATATGTAGTATTTTAAATTTTCAAAACTCGAATCAAAAAATTTAAATACCGAATTATATTCATTAATTTGAATCGATTTGGTTCTCTAGTTTTTAGAATTTAATGATTTTTTATTTTTAATGTTTGTAATTTATTTACATATTTAGAACCACAATAATTGTTTTTATTTAAAAAATTAAAAAGTAATATAAAAGCTAATAAATAAAGATAATTTGTTCAATTTAGATAATTTTGAATTTTCACTTCATGAATTGAAAATTTTGAAAATAAAAAAAATAGTTGCAAGTACTAAAATTTATATCATAAATATTATTTTTTAAAAATAATTATATGAATCAATTAACTTAAACTTCGAAGTCAATATATTTTGTAACATAAGGAACAAGTAAATTATAAGATATAAAAAATTAGTCTATTTGCACCAAAAAAAAAAAAAGTACTCTATTATAAAGAGATAATATTTCAAATGTACCCAAAGGAAAAAAAAAGTTTAGATGTAGCTAACTTTGGCAAGTGTAGGTGAAAAATGCACCAAATTCAATATAATCTTCAAAAGCCTAGCAATTTAGATCCATACCGAACAATTACTAATTCAAGAACAATCAATGCATGAATGGACCAAACTCTTTTAAATTCAAAGAATTTTAATGGGTGTTTATAAATGTTTATGGTCCTCCCTTTTATATATGTACTTTTTTAGTTCCTAGTGAGATATAAACCCACAAACTAAAAGGGGCTATGGAATTTTGGGTTACTTTTATTGTCAACCACAAAACAAAAAATAAAGTTAGAATGCCAACTTTATATATCCAAAAAACAAAGTCAGAACCTCATCGGCTGAATAAAAATCTGATTAACTTTAAGCAAAGGCATTTTGAAGCTGCTAAAAGTAGAATTAGACAAAAAAAAGAGTAGAGAGACAAATGTTGCAGAGAGAAAGGGATTGAGGGATTGGGAATCTATGCAGAAAAGCACGTTGTTTCTCATTCATTGATGCCTCAATCCCACAGGCTTTGCAGGCAGGCAGGCAGGGCACGGCCTCTATTATTTATTTATTTACTACTAATATTTTAGTAATTTATTGGGCAGCAATGGAACTGCTTATATATCAAAAAGAAACTTGAATTAAATGAACAGACAATATATCCGTTACACTGCCTCTAATAAAAACAAATCGAATGCATTTACTAAATATGAAATGCATGTTATTCACTCATAGAGCTGCCTGAATTAGAAGGAAGATTTGGCCAACAAGCATTAGCTCAAATGATAAAAGTGCTGAAGCGGCTTCTGAAAGTTCTAACAAGTCACGCCATTGCAATGACTTTGTGACTTCTCATTTGTGACCAACCAAAATCTATGGCCATGAATGCATTCAGATAAATCGTTCTCGTCTTTTAATCATACATCTCCTTTTTTTCCAACTTTTCCTTTGCGTATAAGTTGAAAAGTTGAAGAAATTTAAGCCCTAATTTCCACTATTGCAACTTTTAGCATTGGAATTTGAAAGCATTAATAATTTGATGATGGACCAAACAATCAAGTACAATGTAATTATGATTCAAAAGTAAAATTAAAAGTTTCTCTCTTGAACTAAACTCCACTCTGTTTAATTTAATAAAAAAGTAATAATTCAAAATAATTAAAATCTAAATTAATTTAAATTCGAAATTATTTAGTTTCAAACGAAAAATTAAATTAACTTGATTTAAGATTAAAATTCAATAATTTAAACATGAAATAACTTGAATCTTTTTTCAATCCAAACTCACTCAACCTAAAATGATCCGATTCAAATTCAACTCACTAGTTGAATTGCCAACTCTATTAAAAATCATATGCTAATCACAAATTTGTTCTATAATTCCTTTGGTTAAAACACAGGGAAAAAGGCGGGAACTTGTGATTTGTCACAACTCATAAAGAGATAGAATTCTAATGGGACAAAGAAGTTGGTTCCAATGGAGATGCAGGGAGACCTGGTCAAACAAACATCATTGGCTGTGACTAAAAAAAAAAAAAAAACTAGATAAAGAGGGATTGATCCAAGGGCTAAGCAAGTAGGGTGGAGTAAATATAGAGTAAGGTGAGCCATAGATGCGAGACCACTCCCAACAAAAAAGATTCTGTGCTATGGCTATGACCGACCTAATGTCAAATCAAAAGGAGCAACTGCACCCTTTTAATTTTTTTATTTTGCTATTTCATTTGTTTAACTTTTGCTTGTAATGGGATAATAGCCGGGGGGCATTGGCCTTTGGTTAAAAAATTTGGGCAGATGATGCTTTTGCACTCCGTCGCATAGCACTTTCCCACCACCACCCTCCCTGGCAGATACTAATTATACAATCCACCAGCATCCTCTGGTTTTTTACTTCTTTTGGAGTAGAGTACTCTGAATTAATTCCGAGGACAATTAGCTCTATTAAAATGATCCCTTTGCATTTTCACCGAGGGAATATTTCTTTGTCCATATACAAATATTTCTAAGATAATAGATAATAAATTCTTGAATTTTTCATATAAATAGTTAGATAAATCTTAATAATCGAGATTCTTTAGCATTTTTGTTCTTAAAAAGCCTCTTAAGAAGAATCCCCGTAGCTTACTCCAACTATCAAATCAACTTGTTCAAAAATTTATCTATAAAAACTAAAAAGTTGTTTGTTATTATTTTCGAAAACTTTTTTTTGGTTTTTATTTAAAATTATCAAAGTTTAAATTTTAATATTTTATTAATAAATTTTTTAATTATTAATATATATTTTTTGTTTTCAGCATAGGAAAAGGAAAATATAAAGAGACATCTTTCAAAAAAGGTTTTGTCAAAAAGGTTCAAACTAACGGTTGATGATTACGAATTTGGAAACCCCACAATTTGTGCATAAATTTTCCTCTCAGTTACATAACATATTTTTTTTTTTTTGGTAAATCATATTTAAGATAAATAAATTATTTAATCTTTTAAATCAAAATAAATACATGATAATTTAAAATAAGTAATTTCAAATCATGTATTTAAAATAATCTTAATAAATAAATATCGATAAAACTCAAATTTATTTTTTTTTAAATTTTTTTAATTTATTAAATTAATTACTTATTGGTACATAATTTGTTCTTTAAATCTTATCATGGTAAGGAGGAAAGTTATGTCAACGTCTAGTCAAAAAAGTTTCTACGAGAAGGCCAATGGAACAGATAATATGACATTAAGAAGGAAACAAAATTAGCATCTGAATAATTGAAGTAATAGTTGAAGATATCCCACATGTTTGCTCATATCAGCCAATGATATGGCATGTGGTCCAATTGCCACTCCTAATTTTAAACAAATTAGGGCAAGGAGGTCTCAAAAGAACGAAACATGAAAAGGAAAATAGAAAATATAATATAGTAAAAATTAAAAGAAGAGAAAAAAAAAAAAGAGATCAGCAGTAAAAGGCTAAAAAATTGCAGCAGAGCTGGCTGGGGAATCTGATGCAATCCAGCAAAATGTGACATTATTTCCCAAACTTCATAGTAAACAACAAATTTCAAAAAATTTATTGAAAAAGACACATTAGATGAACAATACATGACTATTGTCAAAGACTGAAAAATCCTGACAGAAGCGCATTTCCAGCGCGTGGTTTGGACAACAAATCCCCCACCCTAGTCTCTCAACTCATCAAACAACAGCGAAAAACAGAGATTCCATATCTTTCATATCAGAGCGAAGAAAACCTTACAATCTCAAAAACGTGAACCAAATTCTTCCAAACTCAAGTTTTTTTCTTTTCTTTTTCCATTGAAAAGTCAGCAAAATACTAAAAAAAAAAATTAAAACAACCATTAATAAGAACGAAAAAAAAGGGTATTTACATCTAAATTCTACAAGTTTTTGTTAATGAGAAAGGAGAGCTACGATAAAATGTGGGAAATGTGAAAGTTGTATCACTTGAGAACCCTTGAAGGAAATTAAAACAAAAAAGATCCCATGACATAAAATCTTAAAAATAACACAGGAAAACGTTAAAAATGTTATTCAACAACTAATTAATGCTTAGTACTAAATTTGTTACCAAATCTCTCTTTTTGTTTTTGGTTCTTTTTTAATGATTTCGATCTGTTGTTTTGTGTCTGCTGCTGCTGCTGTTGCTACTCTGATGCCCTTTGCTACTTCCTCCATTTCCAGTCTTTTGTGGGGAAGATGAAAACAACTGTCCGAATCCAAAAACAGAGCCTGATTTTGAAGATCCTCTCAAGGAACAAACGGGGACGTTAAGAACTGGGGTGATTCTAACATTAGCTGAATACGACCTCTCCATTCCTCTTTGTTTAAACCTGGGACCACCATTGAAGCTACTTGGACTGCTTGAACTTCTTTCCAGGCTTTGGAACACGATTTTGCCCGAAGAGTTCATCCTTGGACTATCAACTGAAACTCCCCTGCTTGTTACTCCACCTGATGAATCCCTCCGGATCGGACTCCGACCCATTCGAGTCCCACCAGCTGCCATTTGATTACTATCCGACCCCGAACCTGGTCTTGCTTTAACCATCCTCATTCTTGGTGGGTTTGGGTTTATATTTCTACAAGGAGCGAAAGGATTGGGGCTAGGGTTGTTCAAACTTGGCTTATCGGAATCAAGTGACAGCCTTGGAAGATCCTCGTGTTCGTGACCAGAAGATGAAGAAGAAAGGGATAACCTTGATGAAGATACAGAGACTGACTCACAATCTGAGTCTTTCAACAAGGGAATACTTAATGAAGAGTCTGCCCAGGATGCAGTGGAAGAGGAGGAAGAAGAAGATTTGGAGCTTCTGTGAAGGAAATGCTTGAGAGATTTCGTGTTATTGTTAGATAATAATGAGATTTTGCTTTGAGACTCGGATTTGGGAGGTTGATTAGTGTTTTGGGAAAACTTTTTAAGACCCAAAAGTTCCCTCCACCTACTTGAACACCTTGGAGCTTTAGGTGAAAACAAGTAAGGATCCGTGCCAGAAATCTCCATTTCTATTCTACGGCAAGATTTGGCTGTTTCGGGAGACCTGATCTCAGACAAAGCATTCACAGGAGGATGTGGTTTCAGAGTTGAGAAATGTAAAGGCACGAGCTTACCATCAGAAAAAAGCTCGTCAGCTGGAAGCATCGTGACAGGATCTTCAAGCCTGAACTCAAAGTCACCAGCAGGGGTATCTTGGATCTCTGGCGGATCAGAACCAGGATCAGGATCTGTAGAAGAGGGATCAGTAGGAGACTTGGGTCTAGACTTAGAAGACTCCTCTTCTCGGCTGAAGGAAATCCTAGGACTCAACCAACCATATGAAGAGTAACTTGTTGTAGTCTGGAAACTCTCCGGTGAGACACCGATGTTGTTAACACAAGCTGAAGCCATGAAGATGATGAAGAAAATACCCTGTTAAAAAAAAAGGAAATTACATTTACATTTGGGTAGATGAAGGAAATAAGATTCGAGAACTAAAGCAAAGCCGAAAGGGGACGGGTGTTTGCAGCAGCTTTGGTTTGGCTGTGTTAGGGTTCGGGGGAAGAGAAACGTGATTGAAAAACTGTGAAATAGTGTGAAGGGAGCATTTATTTATAGTATTTTTATAAATTATAGGGGAAATAGGGGTAAAAGGTTTATGTTTTTGAGGGTAGGGCCACGTGGCTCTTTTTTTTTTTTCTGAATTTATTTGTTTTCCTATTACTTGTTTTGTTTTTCGTGAAGTGATGTTTCATTTGTTGTTTTTTTGTAGTTCTTTTTATATATACTACTCGGGAAAGTTAAAAACATGATTGTCTCCCATCTCTTAGTATTTTTCATTGTTTCCCAAACCATGAATAAAGACTCCCGTATTTAACTTGGCACTTATCTTTTATGTTATACCAGGGGTGAGCATAAATCAGTTCAAACTAATTTAATCGATTGAAATTATGAAATATGATCATTTCAATTTGGTTTAGTTAATTTTCGGTTGTAATCGATTTTAAGATCGGTTAAATTAGTTAAATTGATCAGTTATCAATTTTTAAAATTAATAATCGAATTAACCGAATTAACCTATCTTATAATAACTAAAGGTAAATGTGTAAATTCTCTTAAAAAAATCTTAAATTTAACTTACTTTTTTTAATTCATCCACCCATGCCGTTTCCCCTTTCTGCTCTTTGCTTCCCCTCTGTTGCATCTTACCGTGCCTCTGCCCTTTGTAGTTTGCTCTTATTCAATCTCTTGCATCTTTGCCTCCCTCTTACTCTTTTGCTTGGCTACTTGCCTCTTTATCTCTTGCTCCCTCTAATTTGCTACACAAGATCAGACAGTTGTAAAGATCAATCTGCCCAATACACCATCGTAAGTTCTTAAATCTTAATAACATTTATTTTTTCTTTTAACGTGACACTATGTCTTTGTTTAGAGTTGTATTCTTCTTATATGTTTTAAGCTAAAGCATAACCCAAACCCCAGCCCCAGGGTGTGCCCACGGTAATTTTTTTTTGCTGGTATTTTTCAGTACCTTTTGTTGTTTAGAGTGATTCGATAGATGGACCCTATCTCTAGCCCGGAAGGAATAGGTCTAGGACTTTCAGTGGCTTGTTTACTCCCCTAGTTGATTGACTAGGTTTCGGAACAAAAGGATCAAAACCTTCTATGCCCCACGCTGGATTTATAGGTTGTACCTTTTCGGTTAGTCTATAAGGGTCAGACACCTATATTCCAGGACCATACAATCCTGTTACATGAAATGCGCCAAAGCCAAAGCAAGCCACTCTTGAGAGAAATAAATGAATTCCAAAAATCTTGGGCAAATCCAAAGAGGGTGGTTGATTCTTTCTTTCCCCCAACTTAGCCCATTAAAAAAAAAGGGAAGATCGAAAGTCTAAGGGGAAGGCTAGGATTGGGGACCCTCTCTAAGGCATAGGAGGACGAGGAGATTCACGAACAAAAGAAGGCAATGGATCCAAGAATCGGTTGTAGATGTAGATGTTATCAACTTCACTCTTCGGGTTAATGACTTCTGCTTTGCGAATCCCCTTGTGAAAGGATGAATGAACTCCTCCCTCTCCCGGACCAATAGAAATGATTTTACCAGCCAAATTTTCTTTGTCAAATAAGTTGATGACTTATTGGTATTCCAAGGTCTTTCTTTGCTTAATACAAAGGCATATCCTTTAAGCGATCTTTCTCAAGCTAAGCTAGGTGACTTGTAATGCTTTTTGCTTGCATCTTGATTCATTTCTTAAGAGTAAAGCTTTTACATTGAAGTTGAAAAAGAAGTGTTCTGTTCAATGTTAAAAAAAATTGGTATGGCAACATGGTAATGATGTGGACTAAGACGATTCGGGGATGGTCCCACAACTCATGAGCTAAAGACAGAAATCAACGAATGGAAGAGAGCCAGAGGATGCCCTCTTATCGCAAGTGAGCAGACAATTTCTCCCTGACATCACAGAAGACGATTTTTTTTTTATAGCAGACTTTTTTTTTTCCAAAGGAATGAAAGTACTTACTTGATGGAGTAAGGGAGTTAGAATGCGCTTTGGTTCATAGGTTTGGTGGTATATCCCTATATAGTGGGCTCTATAGATTAATACAAGGAATTGGGGAATAAATAGTTTAAGTGATTTACACCTTGAAGTATAGTGTGTAAATACTGGATGCATACATAGAGCAATAAGTTTAAAACACAACTATTCAGGAATAAAGATTTTAAAGAAATCTATTGTTAGAGATCTAGCACTTTTAAGTTTTAACTTTCTTACTAGATCTAGCAACTAATTAATCTAAATTATGCTAGATACTTAAATTAAAAGCTAAAATAAATTAGCCTAAACTATGCTAGACACTTACATTGTTTGTTGATAAAATAAGCAACTAACATATAGTTTGATCAACAAACTATTTCATTATTTGAATATCCAATGTGTTCAATAATTGTGTGACTATTACTTTATTATTTTTTCATTATTTGAATATAATTTTATTTTTATTTATTATTTTAATATAATTTAATTATTTATTTTTTATTGTTTGGATATAATTTGATCATTTACTTTTTTTTTTTAAGATGTCAAATGAAGTAAATGATATGATTTTGGATTCTACACCTAATCAAACACAATTGGCCTATCAACTTTTTGCATATGATGAGGTAACAAAAAGTGAAACTGTAAATTCCAAAGTGATGAGACGAGCATCTAAGCCATGATCAGAGGTATGGGACCATTTTACTAAATTTGTTAATGAGGAAGGTAATCGTAAAGCTAGGTGTAATTATTGTGACAGACAATTTTTTGTTGATCCTAAAAAGAATGGAACCACCGCTTTAAAGAATCACATGAATTCTTGTAAAAAGCTTCCTCGTGTTAGTGGGGATGATGGTACTCAAACAGAATTGGTGTTACCGTTAGGAGGAGTAGAATCTTTAGGCACTTGGAAATTTAATCAAGATGCTGTTAGAAAAGCTGTAGCTAAAATGATCATTCTAAATGAGTTGCCATATAGATTTGTAGAGTCGGAAGGATTTAAGCATTGCATGTCAGTTGCATGTCCTAGATTTCGAGTACCATCACGATGGACAGTTGCTAGGGATTGCTATCAGCTTTATATTGATGAAAAGACTCGTTTGAAGCAATTCATGAAATCATCTTTCACAAGAGTATCTCTTATCACTGACACATGGATCTCATTACAAAGGGTCAATTATATGTGTCTTACGACTCACTTCATAGACAAAGATTGGAAACTAAACAAAACGATATTAAATTTTTGTCTCATTTTTAGTCACAAAGGTGAAGCTATTGCTAAGGCGATTGAAAAATATTTGCGTGATTGGGGGATTTATAGGATTTTTACTGTTACAGTTGATAGTGCTAGTTCTAATGATGTTATAATTGCATATTTAAGGAAAAAATTTAACAATGCTAGAACTAGTATTTTAGGAGGCAAATATCTTCATTTGAGTGCACTGCACATATTGTTAATCTTATTGTTTGTGATGGATTGAAGGAAATAAATGAAACAATTGCTCGTGTTAGAGGGGCAATAAGATATGTGAAACAATCACCTTTCAGGTTAGCTAAGTTTAAAGAGTGTATTGTGAATGAACATATTCAAAGTAAAAGTTTATTATGTTTGGATGTTAGCACTAGATGGAATTCTACTTATTTGATGTTGGATGCAACTTAAAAGTTTGAAAGGGCATTTGATGCATTTGATGATGTTGATCCTTATTATAGAGGTGAGCTTTTGATGGGAAATGAGGTACCCGATCAAAATAATTGGGTAATTGTTAGGAAGTTTTACCTTTTCTTGCAACAATTTTATGATCTCATCGTGAAAGTTTCAGGTACTTCTTATGTCACATCTAATACTTTTTTTGATGATATATGTGATGTTTATTCCACTTTACGAGAATGACAATTAAATCTTGATGTTGAGTTGAATGCAATGGCAAAGAGAATGAAGGATAAATATGATAAGTATTGGAGAAATATAGAGAAGATGAATATGTTAGTTTATATTGCTTCTCTTCTTGATCCTTCAAAAAAGTTTTTTTTTTGTTGAATATTGCTTCATGAAAATGTATTTTTCTGATGAAGCTTCATTGATGATTAAAAAAATACAACAAGCAATAGAAGATATATTTAATGAATACAAAAGAATGTTAGAAACTCAGTCTAAGCAAGTTGGTGAAAGTAGTCAAGTGAGCCAAATGTCACAGCCCACCGATGATGAAACTGGAAATGGAACGACAAAAAAGAAGGAAAGCTTTAAGTCCAAGTACAAGAGGTATAGGATTGAACATGACAAAGATGAACATAAATCAGAATTGGTTAAATATTTGAGTGAGGAGCCTGATGATGATGATAGTGATGACTTTGATGTTTTAACTTGGTGGAAACTTAATAACTATAGGTTTCCTATCCTTTCCCATCTAGTTCGTGATGTATTAGCAATTCCTATATCCACAGTTGCTTCTGAATCTGCTTTTAGCATTGGTGATCGTGTGTTTGATGCATATAGGAGCTCTTTAACTCCTAAAATTGTGCAAGCCCTTATTTGTGCTCAAGATTGGTTACGTAGATCTTCTAATCTTGATTCATTTCAACCTGAAGATGATTTGATACAGCTTGACAAAATGGATTTAGGTAATATTTTATTTATACCATCATTTATTTTTTATTTTTTATTTGTTTAAAGCTTACTTTTGTTATTTTTTGTTTATATATTTTTAGATTTGTCAAAAATTACCTTAGATCCAGTAATTGATTAAAAAAAAGGTGCATGGACCTTTTGAGGTAATTTCATTATTAATTTCTATGAATATTTACATTTAAAAAATATTTATTGTATTCTTTGACAACTAATTAAGGTTTTAATCTCTTTAACATTTTAAGAAAAAATGAAGAATGTGCACCAAAGTTATGAGGTTCATGTATGAAGAATGCTGTTAGAACTTGGAATGTCCTTTAATTAGCTTGTTTTATGTTTTTTTATAAATTTTTATATCCATTTGTCAACTCAGAGTGTTCTTAGCTTGTTTTATGTTTTGTATGAGCTGTTAGCTCAATTTGTCAACTTAAAATGTCTTTTATGTTTTTCACAAAAGTTATGAGATGCATATTTGCTTGATTTACTTTTTTAAGTTGGCCTGTTGACCCTTGAAAACTTGTTTATGTGTTAAAATGACAATTATTATGTATTGATGGCTTTGTTGGTTATTTGATATATGTTAGAGTAATACTTTTTAAAATTTATTGTTTAATTTATTTTGATTAAATAAGTTTAGATGAGTATTTATTTGTCTTTTTTCTTGTAAAATATTGTAAAAATTATTAAATTCTTTAGTGATTTAGTTTGAATAGTCTGTGAATTTGAGTTTTATTAGATTAAATTTGTAGCTAAATAATTATTCAAAATAAGAGAAAAAATGATGAAAAATTCAGTTATTTAACCGAACTAACCGAATCGAACCGATTTTTGATCGGTTCAGTTAAATCGGTTAGTTAAAATTTTATTGGTCGGTTCAATTACTGATAAAATAAAAATTGATTAATTCAATTATTGATTTTTTCAGACCGAATTAACCAAACTGATCGACTGCTCACCCTTATGTTATACTACTAATTTTCACTAAAGTTAAATGTATATATTATGATAATTATATAAAGATATTTATCTCATATAAAATTTTTAAATTTTATAAATGAAATAAAAAAATTATTACATGATTTTTTATTATATCAATTTATTATTTTAAACATAAAATTATAATGAAATATGTGATAATTTTATTAGTATAATTTGAAAAATGTATTGACGTATTAGATTATTTTTCAATTAGATAATGTTATTTTGTTTGATAAACAATCGATTCAAAATAAAATGATAAGAACAATAACATGATAAAGTAAATAAAAAATGTTTGTGTGTGAAAATTTAGATTGAAGTTAGACATCTAAAAAGAACAATAGTTAAAAACAGAGATGGAAAGTAATTTTCTTTTATTTGGGATCTTATGTGTTTGGTAATTATTTTAAATTTTGATTAATTTAAAATTAAATCGAATCGAATTTTATAAAGAGATAAATTCTTTCAAGTTTTTTTTTTTTTATTTACAAGACTTGAAATTAAAACTTTACTTAAGAGAAATCGAATTTTTTTATCACTTTAACCATTAAATAATTTTAATGTTTATGTTTTTTATGCTCAAATTAATAAAATCCGAAGAAAAAACGAGAGAAAAATACTAAGAAAATCAGAGAAAATGAAAAAAAAATAATGGCTTAGGATTATCTGAAGGAAAAAAAATGAGATATTTATACAAATGATAACGTTTTTGGATGCGACATAATTTAGAATAGGTCCATCTTGATGTAGCTTTTAGATTTCACAATATTTTAGTGGCATGTTAGCTTGGTCAGGTGGAATGATCGTGGAATGCGACGGTTGTTCACGTCGACATCTTGGGAGGCACATGTTTGAGAATTTTGATTGCACATTGAAGAAATTTTTCTTAACGATTTTGTCGCATCAGTTCAATTAAAAAACCAAAATAACTTGGAAGTCCTGATATATCTACAAGTCGCTAAAAAAACTAGTTTGATGTCCAAAATATCTACATCATTAAAAGAACACAAGTTTTTTTTCGAATGCATTTGCATTGCATGCAATTTTTTCTATTGTTTTATCATTTTCCATGATTAGGCTGTAATGTATATGAGCATAACAATGATTCAAATAACTAAAAAAATGGAAGTTAACTTTTAAGGATTTTTAAAAATAAATTTTTAATAAAAATTTATGAATTGAAAGTACTAAATTTAAATTTAAAATTATCGAATGTTATTTTTTTAAAAAATAATTGTATAAATCAACAAAATAAATTTAAATTGAACTCTAATATTACTTTTTACATTCTTAAACTTAGATTTTGGTTTGACCTTGGTAAGGCACTATAAGGCAAATGCGTCCGAAATTAGACCCTAGAGGAGAGGAAAGGACATATATTAGAGATCATGAAGGCGTTTTCAAGTTTGAGAAAACAAGCATGGGGATTTTTCTTTGATAGAAAGTCATCCTTTACCATTAATTACTTTGCTTCAGCCTTTTAAATTGTTAAGTGTGCACAAAGGGAATTTTTTTTTATATTTGATATTGTCAAAAATTAAATTTTAATTATTAAAATTAAAAATTTAATATTTCATCAATAATTCACATGATTTTTGGTAAAAATTAAGATTTAAGCCATGTTAGCAGATGATATGATTATCATATTTTAAAAAATGTTTTTTCATTGAATCCTTTATTTTTATCAAATTAAAAAATGCAATAATTACATATTTGTTTATGTAAATATTGCTTTTATTTTTTATGTTAGGCAATAAGTAGGGTTGGTATTGGGTCGGGTTTGAGACGAATTTTGCTCGTGCCGAATCTGATCCGACTTAATGCTTTAATAAACTCGAATTTGATCTTATCTGAAAATTTTTTTGTTTTTTCATACCCGAACTTGACCTCGACCCCGATCTCGATCTGATACTACATAAATCGTACCCGATCCAAAATTAATAAAATTATATTTTTTAAATATAAAATATTATTTTTTAAATATAAATATTTAAAAATATTATTATATAAATATATATATAAATAAAAATTTAAAAAATAATTTTTTATATAATATCAAGTCGAATCGAATTTGCCTAAAACTCAAATCAAACCCAATCAATTGTTTTCTAATATTACTTAATTCAACTTAACTCGAAATTCAAATTAAAAATAAAAAAAAATCACCTCATAGGTTCGGATCGAAACCTATTGGAGACGAATTGAATTGTTGTCCCTAGCAATAAGTACTCATTAATGTAATTGCTGACTTCAGATTTTGAGTTAAATAACGTTTTCATTTTAGGCAGATTGCATGCTAAGTTAAGAAAGCACTGGATTGGATTATAATGGACCTTTAATAATTTTTCCATAAACTAATTTTACTCTTGAATTGGATAGGGGTTAAATTAAAAAAGTTTTAATTTTAAAGAAAGGCGTATATCAACCTTTAAGCATGACAAGAATCACAAATCATAAAACAAATGTTGGACTTACATAATTTATCATTATTGATTTGTTTTTAAAAATAATAATTTAATATAAAAAAACACATGACAATATTTTAATTCATTTGTAGAATTTAAAATTTTCACCAAAATATAAGGAGTAATAATCCTTTGTGAAAATACTGATAAAAAAAACTTCTCTTATCCTTTTTTTAGACTAACAATTTTGAGTTAAATTTTTTTTTATAAATTTTTTTTACCTTAAATTACATTATAATAATATATTTTTTATACTGTTAAAGGTTCACATGACCTCTCTCTCTATATATATATATATTAACAAGTAATTAATTTAATCGGTTAAATTTATTTTTATTGATTAAAAAATTTTAAGTTCGAATCTTGTCAGTAATCATTTGTTGAAATTATTTTTAATATACAACTTACAATAATTTGTTTTTAACTATTATATATGACATATTTTATTTTGATATGAAAAATTAAATAATTTATTTATTTTGAATTTTTTTATAATATATATATATATATATATGTAAACCAAAATACTTTATTTTTCAATATCATCAATGATGGGTCGTGCCTAACTATAAAAGGTAGGCTAAACATTGAGACCAAACTACTATTCCTGTAAGTGGCTTCTGTACTCCAGCCTTAAAATGTTACGTTAACCATTGAGATCAAACCTCAAGTTCAACTTGACTAGCAAAACTCGATAAAAAAATATTACGCGCTCCTTCAGGCATTAATGGATCCAATTTTTTGTGGGAGGATGTCCACAGACACCTCTCAAAAGTGAAAAATAATAAAATTTAAAGAAAAAATTTTCTATGAATATCCTTAGAGATTGAAAAAAAAGAAAAATTAAAAAAATTGCTCTAAATACTTTTTTTATCAATAAAATTAATAAATTTTTTAACAATTTTTTTATATATGTTATAAATAAATACTTTCAAAAGAAATTCTAAATTTGTCACTGCATTCAAATTTAGTTTTAAATAATAGTTTTTATTATTATTTTTTTTTATAAAAAGAATGTTAATAAGGCTGTAGCATTGAGTTCGAACCTAAACAATTTCTCTTCCGTTATTCAAAATTATCAAAATAAAAATTTTAACCATTAACCAAGTCTAATTTAAACAATCGAAAACCTTTTTCCTAAGTTCTTGCACACGATCCAAAATTATATTAGTGAAGGAGATTTTGGTTATGTAGAAACTTTCTTCAAGAGTTTAATTGAGTTTAGCATAAAAAAAAGATTATGTGAAACAAATATGTCACGTCTTTATTAAAATCATGTTATATAATCATATTATTAAAAAATATCAATTTTATAATAAAATAAATAATTAATTAAAATAAATATTCACCATTTAATTATCATATATGATATTTAATAAATCGTTGATATTTTTTAATAATATAATTATATGATATAATTTGAATGAAAATAATATATATTAAGGTGACATATTTATTTCATACAATTCTTTCTTGTTTAATAATATTGTATTTGAGTTGTAATGTTTCTTTTTGTATCAAAATAAAAAAAAAGTATTACTAATAAAAAAAAAGATTAAATCACTTGATAAGAAGAAAGAAATTCTTTCCCTTATATATCAGGATTTAATTTTTGTGGAGAGTATTATAAGATAAAAATTTGAATTTATAAAATTAATATAAAAAATTTAAAATTTAATTTAATTATTCCATATAATTATTTTTAAAAATCTTATTCAATAAATTTAATAATTAATATTTATAATTTTTTTATTCTCAAACTGTAATTTTTTTAATTAAAAAAAAATCAATGCAAAAAAAACAACTTTTAAGAGCCGTACGCAAAAAAAGAGAATAAGCTCAAATAAAGCATAAAAATCCTCGTGACTATAAAAAAAGCTACCCTAAAAAAAAAAAAAAGGAACAGAAGAAGAAACCGAGTTGGCTTGAGTGTGAGCATTTTGGGCCTTTCTCAAGCGATATTATATGTAGCTCAAGTTGAAAAACGCAAAGCCCCAGAAAAACAGAAAAAAAAAAAAACCAGTGGAAACTAAAGCAAAGATTGGGGTAAGAGAGTGAGAATTGAGAAATGGCGAAGCAGTGCAAGTATTCATGCGACAGCGCAGCTGAAACTTTGGAATGGATCAAAGCTATTGCAGATTTCATTAAACCTTACTCTTTTTTAATCAATGCTCACGTTGTCAATTTCTTCAAGGTTAGTTAAAACTAAAAATTAATAAAAACCCACTTTTCTTTCCCTCTTATTTATTTATTTATTTTATTTCAGGATAGGCTATGGGAATCTGTTGATAAAGAATGGATTGAATGTCTTGGTAAAGAATCTGTTGAAAATCTTCTCCTAATTCCTTCTGGAGTTGTCCAAGTAAAATTGTTTCCTTTTATTATTATTATTATTTGATTTGTTATTGTTATTCATAATAAATTTGAATAATTGATTAATGTTATTGAATTACTTTTAATGGTAGGATCATTGGCCTACTTCGCTTAAGGAGTTTGTTCTTACTCTGAAATCTCTTGTTTATCCTCGAGAACAAGCTGACTTGAAAAAGGTTAATTTCTTTCAATTATAATTGAGTTTTTGATATTTGTTTTTTGATTCTTGCAGAAAAGATGATAAAATATAGTAATTGAAATGAGAAAATGGCTTAAATGCTGCCCACATAATTGTTAAATATAAGAGTAAAAATCATGCTTTTGGCAATTCATCATAATTAGATTTTTAATATTTAATTTTTCAAAATATTATTTGCTTTGCTTTTGGCATTGCAAATATACTTTCAGGATTTGCTTGGTAGGAAGGATGGAAAGAGGTGACGATGTAAAATTTGTTAATCTAATGGTTATAATACCACTTTCCTACATTGTAGTTTAACCATTAGATTGACAAGTTTTCTATTCTCATCCCTTTCGATCTTTCCTACCAAGCAAAGCTCAGTATTTTGCTTTCGGAAGTAAAAAACAAGCTTATTGACCTTTTTTTCTGGGCTTGATTTCTCACTCACGATTTTATTGGACAAGATTATCTTCCTTTGATTTTTTTCTTGAAAAAATAATTTCAAATTACTTCTTTGCTTCTTGGTTTAACAAGGGTCCTTTTTCTTAAGTCTTTTTTATCAAATTTTCATTTTTTAAGTCTTCTCTTTTCTTTTTCCTTGAATTGTTTACCAATGGAAGGCAGATGGGGAGTACTTTCTTCTAAAGTGGGGCGTGTAGGAGTTGTTTTCAAAGAAGATATTTATCATTCTGGTTTATTGTAGGTATTTCCCGACTTCCATACAACATCACTTAATAGCGTTCTTTCTCAAGGAATGAATCTAAAGAAGAAGCACGAGGTAGCTATTATGTAATATTTTGGAATTGAATTGATCTCCTTTTCTCATAAATGATGATGTCCCGATGTGGTATGTGCTGCACAACATTGGAAATCTAAAGTTACCTTATTTATGTGGTAACCAGGTAGAAGTTCTTTCTGCTATTGTTAGTTCTATTGTGAGTACAGTGCAAGCTGATGCAATAATTGATGTCGGTGCTGGTCAGGTGTGCGTCACTCTTTTTCTCTTTTTCCCTTTCCTAACTTTTTTCTTTTCTACTTTCTATTTGGATGATGCTGAATTTGGGGTTGAGACTGCTTAATTGATGCTTTAATGGATAGAGAAGCTTGTCAAAACTTGGAATCTGGGAGCAAATTGATGCTGAACCAACAAAATGCAAAACTGATTTGACCTGTTTTATTTAAGCATTTTTGAACTTGATAGGTAATGGTTAAATTGGTACTAGGTCTATTAGCATGCTGGACTGGGCAGTTTTGTGGTGGGCATCACTTTTGATTCAATTATTATGTTGCTTGTTGTTTCACATATTTGGTCAAAGAGGATAAGGTTGGGAGTTTTTGATTTGTGACTTTATTTTTGCCCTTTTTGTACCTTAGCAACTTAACCGTGGCCTATAACAGTATTTCCAAGTCCAAGCCTTAGCTGTTAGCCCTTACACTCCATTTTGTAGGAAGGATGGAAAATGGAATGGAAGGAAAAAGTTTTAGTCTAATAGTTGAGCTAAAAGAGCATATGTTATTATTAATATCAAGCATTTGATTTAAAAAATTTCCATCCTTCTCCCCTTCTATCCTTCCTACCAAACAGAGCATTACTTTCACTCTCCTGCACTTGACTGAACCTCCAGGCATAGTCATATGTTTACAAGATTTTGTGTGACAACTAGTTCAGTTGTCCAAATCTTTTAAGCAATCTTCACATTGCCTCACCATAGCTAGCTCTTATCTTGAGGAATCTCAATCCTTTGACAAAGCCTCTCCAAACTTAAAGGCAAGGCAAAACATCCAAGATTTCCTTTTCGAAGTCCTGTAATGGTTGCTCTGATGGTGACATCAAGCACTCTTAATTCTTTGGCAATAACTTTTCCATCTAAATGAAGCACTTTGCCAACTTGCTGAGGTGTTTCCTTCGTGTGCAACTCAAATACCCCATACTTCTAATAATCATTTCACTTGACCTTTCACATCCCTAATATTAGACCTCCCATTAGTGTCCGCATCGTTTTGTTGCCTCTAGGGTGGAATAAAAACTTCTTTCTCGCATCCCACATCAGCTACTTCTGCTCAATAGATAGACATACACACATACATACGTAGGTACAGACAAACACATGCACGGAAACCATGTGTATGCATGCATGCATGCAAGTTTATGATGTGATGTTTTCTATTTTGTTTCTCTTTGCATTCATAACTTTACCCTTAAATCTAAATGCTCCTTCAATAAAAGTTTCTGTTTTGTTGAACTGTGGTGGACAAAAGTTTTGGGACTTATTGAGTTTGACCATGGAATATTTGTTCCTTTGTTCCTTCACAATGACATTGTATGCATTTTGTATATATTAGCATGTTGATAGTGATGTTTACTTCACTTCAAAACTATAGATCTGGTTCTTAATCCTGGTTAGCATGATTTTCCAGGGTTATCTTGCGCAAGTCCTTGCCTTTGAGTACCAGCATTCTGTAGTCGCTGTAGATGCTTGTTCTCATCATGGAAATGTTACAGATGCACGTGCAGAGCGAATCAAGAAGCATTACACAGTTCAGATGCGAAAATTTGGGTATGTGAGGGAGTTACCTTCCTTTATCATATCTTGGGCGGTTGTATTTATTTTAAAACTGAAGCCCATGTCACCTTTAAAGTTACCTACATGAACATGTGCATGTTTCTCTTTGTGGTGGTTGGATTATGCTAAGTTTGATCATCATTGAGGCATTTTTCCAGACTAATGCCTTGAGTTAGTTTGTTCTGTTGGTTGTAAATTAAATGTTAAGACTTTATATACTCATTTATAGGTTGTCTAAGAGACCTGGTGTTCTGACAATGATGTTTAATTGTCCGAACAAACAAAAATTTTGTGAAGGTTGTTTCATCAAGTGAACCATGTGACCTGATTATTTCTTTTTGGGCACATTTGGCATATAACTACTCTTTTTGGTGACACAATTCCAATTTGAATTTCTCTTTTAGCATTAGCATGGATTTTATTGTTACAATTATAGTTTGAAGTTACTTAAAATCACTACTTTTGCAAGTGTCACACTTGTTGACAGATTGCAACCTTTTTTCTGTTAGATCAGGAAACAAGAGATTAAATGTGCCCCAGACAATTACATGCCGCATAATGTCCCTGGAAACATTGAAAGCCCTGAGCACCTTGTTGCCTCATAAATGTGATGTTGAGCAGCCAAAATTGATCGAGCAAGACCTTGAACAATATGGTTCAAAAGGAAATAGGAGTTCATTGGTTCTGGCTGGACTTCATGCTTGTGGAGATCTCTCAGTAACAATGCTCAAGTGAGTGTCAAAATATGCTTGTAAGCTATTCTTTTCCTTCTCCTTCCAATGCTAAGTTAAATTGCAGCCTGTGAAGCATGGAAACACCGTGCAGCGGCACATACTTGTGTCCAATACATGTCCCACATGGACACGCCTCCGACATGGTGGGACAGGTATCAGGCACGCCAAAAAAATAAAAAAGAGATTGGACATGTATGAACATGCCTCTGACACAAATGGACATGACCGGACAAAGGATGAATTTTTTTTTTTTTTTTAAATTTGGAATCACAGTGAGCAGAAACCAAGATCCTAAAGAAATGAGATGTTGGAAATCCATAAAAAAAAGAGAAGAAAACAGAGAGATAGCATAACAAGAAAAGAGTGTTAAATGTTGGAAAAGTGGGAGTAGAAAGCAAGTCATTGATGGAAATATGTTACAAGAGAAAAATAGAGAAAAAAGATAAGAGAGAAAGAAGAGAGACACGACACAGAAACCAAATATGAAGACAATTCCTAGTGAATAATTTAGGGCATGATGATTTATGGCCTTTTGGCTTTTGGGCCTTTGAGTTTGAGCTAATTGGTTTTAATGGTTTTAGATGTCCAAGTTTTTAAACTCAAAATTAATTTAAAAAAATTGAAAGGCTTTTTGCGTATTAATATTTGTTTGAAAAGTATCAATATTTACATTTTTATTGTATTTACATTTACATTGAATATTTTTAGATAGAATATATAAAATTTTTTTTATTGCCATGTCCTGCTGTACCAGAGTCCCCAATTTTTTGTAATTGTTGTGTCATTGTGTCTGTATCGTGTTGTACTCGTATTGCGTGTCCATGTCCGTGCTTCATAGATTGCAGTTATGATTTGCTCCATTATTGGTGGGCAAGGGAGACCTGCCTTTCTACAACTTAGTTTGAGATAGTAAGCATTATATCCTTTCTTTTATGCATTGGTATTGCAAAGTAGATAATATTTTAGGGATTGTTAGAAGTATGCCTTGTTATAACTATGTTGCTCAAACTTGGTTACAGATGTCGGGTATATGTATGTATCTAGGTGTTAGACAAGCCAATTATCATAAATCAAAGATACAAAGATATGGCTACAAATGGTCAAAGAAGAGGACCCGGGTGCCTGGACTATTTGTACAATATCTTATTAGGATGATTGGTAATAATTATAGAAGCTATCTTAAATCTGACTATTAAAATTTCACATTCAAGTGTGCAATAGTTAGCATAATATAGTGAAGGTAAAGGAAGAGCATTGAGCATATCTAATCTATGGATGTATCAATCCACAAACAAAAATGCCAACAATCATTGTACAAAGTTGTGGCAATGAGAATTGAGAAGGGAAACATATAACATACCTGGTTAGTGCTTAATTCTCATTGTTTGATGTTGGTTTAGGTTCTACAATTCTACTTCTTCAATATAAGAGTCTAAGTTTGTATCTTCAAAACATCAAGAAAAAAAATTAAGATTACTAGAGATTTAGATTCCAAACTTATAAAATAAAGCTTATATGTTTGTAACTACAACCTAAATGCAAAGTTAAGAAGAGTAGAAGACATACCTCAACTGACATCAGTCACCAATTGACCATTAGGTCTACTCCACTTCATGCAAAACTGAAATACTCAAAAGCTGAACTGAAGTGAGAGACATGAAACTAGCAAGTAAAAACCGGAAATATTTTGATAGTTAATTAAGAGCATAGGGAGGTTTCATTTCAGTGTAATTTCAAAGTTTGAACATGTGCATTCAAGGTTCTAGAAGTCGTAATAAAACTTATTTATTAACAAAATAATTTTCTTGCTATAGTTGAGTAGTTGACCTGTGTAATAAGGTACGACTATGAACACTATCAAAAAATTCAAGAAACAAAAAGTTTCAAACATTTGTGTTACTTTTCTGGTCATTCACAGCTTGATGCTCTTAGTTTACCTTCAATGTATTATGTTAAAGAAAAAACCCATGCTCTTCATTCTATAAAGGACACATGGAAAAACAAAAAGGAGTTTCTATTTCTCCTGATGGATGGACTGATAGGCAAAAAGCCCTCTTATCAATATTATGGAAGCTTTTATCTGAGGACCAATATTTGTGAAAACAATTGATGCTAGTGGTAATATTAAGAGTATGGAACATATTGCTAATATATTTCTAGAAGCTATTGAGGAAATCGGAGAAGCAAATGTGGTTCAAGTTGTAACAAACCATGCAACAAGCTTCAAGGTAGCTGGACAAATAGTGGTAGCAAAATGCCCCACATATTTTGGACACCTTGTCTAGGCGTAGATTGAATTTCAATTTGAAGAATATCTATGAAGCATCCAAGAACTTAAATTATTTTATTGAATTCTAATGGATAAGTAAATCGGTGAATGATGTGCAAGTGGTTCAAAAACTTTATTGCAAATCATAGTTTGGCCTTGTCTATATTTAAAAGGTATTTGAAGTTGAATTTGTTGAAGGTAGTTGAAACAAGATTTTCATCTAATATTGTCATGGTAAAAGGTTTAAAAGAAGTAAAGGATACACTTGAAAAGATGAGTGTGGATGCAAATTGGAATTCATTTGAAGGATTTTGCAAGGTAGTAGAAGTCAAAGCTCATGCAATCAAAGAATGCATTGTTAGTGATAATTAGTGGGATAAGTTGGACTATTTCATGAGTTTTCAAAGCCTATAGTTGACGTGTTAAGGACTGCTGATATTGATTCTCCACCGGTACCCCATATATGACATTGTTAGTCATTGCATGATATCATGGAGCCATTTGTCACTGGTTGAATCACCAAAATTTTACACATTACAAAAGACTCTTTAAGATATTATTTGAAGTGTACACAGAGAAGGTAATGCTTTGTACAAGTCAATGGATGGAATCAGCAATTGTTAAGGAAGGAGGAATGAGCAACTATTAGGGAGCTCAATTGTTATGGCAAGAAGAAATTATGGTGACGCAAGTGTCATAAACTATACTATTTATATGATTATTATATTGAGGAATATTGACGGAACAAAGCAAGGGGAATAAATGACTAAAGTGCAAGTAATAGAAGGAACTAATGATATGATGTTGGTTGGTTGGTTTTAACTTTCTAGAATGATAAATTTAGGGAGATAAAGTGTGAGAGCAAAAAGGTGGTCCGTATCCATATTGATAACATTTGACTTCATATTTTTCAAGTGTAGGACTGTTTTACTCGTTGTTATATCCGCATGTTACACTTTAGTAATTTCATGTTATTGAGTTCTGTTTCATGTAACAAAGATGCAATGCTAGATTATGCTTTTTCATATTAGAGTATTATGTCATTGTTTAATTAGTAAACTATCTAATAGGATGTGAATGTAATTGATCAGGACCATTTTAGAGTGTGAAGAAGTTAGAGCAGTTATTAGCATTGGCTGTTGCTACAACTTACTATCTGAAGAAGGGTTTGAAAATGCTCGCATTCATTATGGTTTTCCAATGAGTTGTGGTGTTAAAACTATTAGCTTGTCTCTTGGAAAGAGTTCTCGTGATCTTGCTTGTCAGGTATGTGTGCATCTTGCCTTTCTTGTACTGTTTAAAAGCAATATGATGCGAATGCCTCATGCATGAGAGTTCTTTCTTTTTTTTTTTTTTTTCCTTTCATTAAGCTAAGATTGACTTAAACAGGTATAAGCTGATATGCATGTAAGGTTAAGGATCATGTTATGTATAAAAGCAACAAAACAAATAAAAGTTAGAGACTAAGCAGTCCTTTGGTTGTGGAATTTTGCTTTGACTGCCATAAGAAAAAAATTTTACAGTCTACCTAGTTGGAATTGTGTTGGATTACAGATTTACAGTGTCTGGGCAAAAAACTGGTTTTCTTTTGGCCAATACAAAGACAGGGTTGAGTTACAAATTCTTTCTACTAATATTTCTTTGGTTTATCTACTTTCGTCTTTTATAGATGAAATTTGTGATCATGCTTTATTTGTTTAGAGTGCAGAAAGATGGAAAAGTTTAGGAAAGGAAGCTGGTCTCCACAATTTTGAGCTGCATGCTTTCCGCGCTGCTTTCCAAATGGTACAAGATACTTTATTTCTTGTTGAGTTTCATTGTTTAAATTGCACAATGTCAATTAGTTTTTGTAATTTCCACATTAATAAGATTGCTTAATGCCTTGAAAGTACTCTTTTTGTTGCTTTGCATTCATGTTGCTTCTCCCCATATCTCTGAATTGACACTTTGAGTTATTTAAGATATCTGCTGCCCGATTATATTTTATTGGTAGTCTTCTCATCTTGGTGTTATGACACCTGTTAACATGAGGGTGTGATGAAGTATCCTCAGGGTTCTTTTTCTTTTTCTCCTAGAATGTTTCCATGTGAAAGTATGTTTGAAAGTATTTATGCATGAGTTTCAAATAAACAAACATAATAAAAAAATGTATTTATGCATGAAGCAAACTTTATTTACATGTCTGTATGTCCGTCTGGGCGTATACATACATATGGTTGTCCACATTGATGACAAAGAAAAACAATTAAAACAAGTGACAAAAAATTTTCTTTCTATGGGGGAAAGCTCGTTAATGAAAGAAATTGTAACCCAACATTCAGAACTCTGTTTACTAGAATGTCCATACTAGTTGTCCATTGGGTCTTAATTAAGTGTAGTTAAGTCTTTTTAGAGCTTTTATGTGCTCTTTAGCATAAATATGTTAAGTATTATTCCTAATTTTAATGATTTAGAAATTCTAATCCAAGTAGTTATTGATAGTTCTTGGAAACGCTGCAATTAGAGGTGTTAATGGGCAGCCTATGCTTGGTATTAATAGTTTATATGCTTGTCTAGGCCCGGCCTGACCTGATAATTCGGACCTCAAAATTTTCTCAAGCCCTATTGGGCTTCAAAAATTTCTCAAGCTTGGTCCAAATTGAAAAACTTAATTTATATAATAAAAAATTTTAAAAAATCCTTTTTGAAAAAAATAAAAAGTAAAAATTCACATATATATACTTAAATAATTATAATATTTTAATTATATAGTTTATTTGGGCCAGGCTTGGGCTTTAATTCATTTGTCCAAGGCTCAATCCAAAATTCAAACAGGCCTAAAAATTATGCCCAAACCCATTTAACGGGCTTTAGTTTCTTATCCAAGCTCTCTTAAAACTTGGACGGGATTTCAGACTTAGGCGGATAACTTAGCCCTTGAGCAGGTCTAGTTGCAACTCACTCTAGAATTCTTGGATTACTGTTTACAGCATGAAAACAGCACTCATAAACTTGTTTTCTCTGTTTTGCTGCTGCTCCGAGTTCCTGAAAATTTTACCATTAGATTCAACCCTCTTTGGCATCTAATCTCAATTGAACTAGATCTAATTTCTACCTAAATCCTAACCCTGATTTCTTTCCATATCCATAAATCCTAAAATCCCTAATTTTCTAGTCCTAGCCTACCTCTCAACCTAAGTAGGCAGACTTTACCAAATCTGTCCTACATCACTTGCCTTTACAATTAGAAGTGTCAAGCATACAGCAATCCTCTAGTTCTACTTTTTCTGTATTCCTTATAATTTCTTAGTTGACTTGGTACAAGAATCTGACATGATATCATTCTAGGTGTTTTTTTTTTTTTGTGACCATTGGTCTAGGTGTCCGACTCATATTTTTAAAATTTTGACTTGAACTTGGCTAAAGATTCCAATTATGATACAGGTAGGCAGATATATACACACTTGACCATTAAAGATTTCGGAGAAAAAGAGAAAGTATAAACTAATTTGAAATATTACTAAGTTGAGGGTGTTTAACTACTTGTATGTTTCTTATAGATTATTAACCTCTGTAGCAAGTGTTGCTAGCAGTAAACAAATAGTAGTGGTGGCGAAGCCAACTGAGCCAGAAGTAGTAAAGAAACATGATAATCAAATGAAGATCAAATAGCGGCAATGGTTAACAGGTTTGACTCACCAAATCAATGTTTTTGGCTATTAAAAGCTCAAAACTCATATACTTTTGCAAATCAAAGAAAGTACCTGAAATTTGAGCCATAGCTTGTCTGACAGAGAAAATAGCAGCACAAAGTTAAAAATCATTATCAGTAATGCCATGTTGAAGGGATTCAGTGGTGCCATGGGTTGATTCCTTAAAACCTAAAACTTTCATAACTTGAAACAGTTGTTGGAGATTTGTAGATTAAGAGAAGAAGAAATCTTTCTCTAGGGTGACACTTGGAAGCTTCGTTTAAAAGGATCAACAGCTTCTCCTAGAAGTTATCAAACAGGTGACTGCATTGATGCTCCCAAGAAAAATAGTCATCACATCATGCCCAGCCTTTCCTGCCCTCCTCTTCCCCTTCCTTCTTTCTTTCCCCACTAAAAGATAACTTTTGGTGCGAGAACACCTAATGAAACCACAATTTCATAGGCCTGATGTATAAATCTAAGAACTCAACACTGAAATGACAGAAATTACCAGGTCTTGTTGGGGCATGGGTATTCCCAGAACATTTATACAATTACTAAGATGACATTTAAATTAAGACATTCTCCACCAGCTTGTTTACCGATTTACAAATGTTATTGATTTACGTCAGAATGTACCTGTACTTGTGTTGCATTAACGATGTTATAGTAAATCTATTTTCAAATATTCTTATAGTTTATTTCTCAGTTGTCATGGCTGTTTATCTTTCATCTGTTTCATTTCAGACGTAAGATCTACAGTAACTAACAGTATCTTTTGAAGGTTCTTCATAAATATTTCCCTGAAGTCATAATAACAAGTCCTTCAATTGGGCGCCAAGGGAAGGCTTTACGCCGTAAGCAGCAAAGGAGGATAATGGAGTCTGAATTGCATGATGAAGAAAGTACTTATTCGTCTTTGCCTCAGAGTCCTAATATGGATGAGGCTTGCTCTGTCATACAAAGTGGAGAAGCTGGAGCAGGTACATAATGGTAGATGTAGTTTTAGGACTACTAGCTTGTTGCTCTTTCGATAATGTTGCACTCTGTCCCTTTTTCTTTTCTTTGCTTGTTCATGGTAATTGCCTAGTGAAGATCCTGCAAAGAATACGGGACAAATTTCTTCTTGCAGACCAATTTATGTGCATTACATTGGTGGGGAAATCTGAATTACTTATAAGAGACTGCAACTTTTCTTTGTGTTGCAGGTGACAAGTCAGGCATAGGGTTGAACTTGGATGCCTTAGTCAATAAAATGTCCTTAGATACTGGTAGCAGATGTGAAGGGAGGACTATATCTGCTGATAAGTATTCACTTTTTGAGAAATTTTGCCGGTCTGGATTATGTCGTCTAGGGCTTAAACCATTGGTTGATATCAATTTCCTTGGCATTTGGAATGAAGTTGAGCCCTATGTTGTATGTCTCTCATACTACTTATTCACTGCTCCTTTGAGAGTATGAATTTTAATTTATCATCACAAATTCAGTGCAAGTTTCTAGTATATTTTTTGTCAATATCATGTCTTTGAGATTTAGAATTGATTGTTGTGTCTGTTTCCTTTATTGCCTGTTCACTATCACCATGGCTACTTTGGAATTGCTTTGATAATAGTAGTAACATATTTCTTGCATTTTATTTATAATTAGGATTTAGAACAATAAAGCAAAAATATGATGAAACTGTATTTGATGGTAATGCTCATCTTCAGTTGAAGCTGCATAGCAAATGAATGCATTATTCTTGATTTGGAACTTCTAGGGATCCCTTAATGCTTATAAAATTTGATCTTGAGATAGTCATCATTAAAATCAAAATGCAACACTCACCATTATGATATTTAAAAAAATGGTGAAAAAAGTTTCATATTTGATTCACTATGGCTACTGGCTTTTAACTGGAAGAGAGACAGCTGATTCATCAAATATTTTTGTTTTATTGATTTTATAGTTTTGTAGTTTCTTATCTATCAGGCTTGCCGAGGAAATTGGTTATGATTTTGGTTTTTCTTTGCCACGTGAATTCTCTTAGATTTCCATCTTTTGTTTGAAGATGAATCCCCTTAAAACATATACCATTATTGCCTGATCTACACAGAAAATTGTCTAGCACAGGATGATATATATGGTCCTGGTTAGAGAAGAACAAGAGAAACACCCATTGGAACAAAAAAGAAGAGTAAAGTTGTCTCTTGATTGAACAAAACACGGGCTATCTAAACTAACCATAATTCATAGTTCGATGTTCAGAAAAAGGAATAGAAGCCTGAAAATGGAGTATTATCTAGAACCCAGAATCATGGATCATTACTTATTATTTGCTGTTTATCTCAGTTATTTATAATTTGTGAATTAATTATTGTTCACACTAGGTGGGATGTTTTCAAATTCTAAAAAATGAGGAATATAACCCTGTAATTACTTGCACGAGTTACAAACTATCTAATCTATGTTAGGGAAGCCAGAGTACCGAGTGTTGATTAATTGTATAATAGTGGTGGAATACTGCCTAATTTGTTTATTGCTGGCAGAACCTTATTGGAGTTTACTGGTCTCTTCGTGCTGCTTTTGGGCCTCTGTTGGAAACTGTCATTCTTCTGGATAGATTATTGTTCCTCCAGGAGCAAGCTGGTCACTTGAACGTGGTAATGTTACCTATTTTTGATCCAGCATTATCCCCGAGGAATGTTGCCATAATTGCTAAAAAGCTGGATACAGTTATGGCATCATAGTTTGAGATAAGGTAATAAATAGTTTCTTAGATGACAAAGGTATTATAGATTGCATCCGATTTGTTTCGGTTTCATTTGCTTTCTGATTCAGCTTTCTTTTTACTTGATTCACTGTGATTTACATTATAAAAATATCTGGAATATATTAAATCGATGAGAAATGTTAAGATCGTTGGAAAGTGGATTAAGTTTAAATCTGATTGGTTAATGATAGAAGAAAGCAGGCAGGCATAAGCTGTCATTACAGCTATTGGTTGCTTGAAAAATGAGGGACCCCGTAGGGCTCAGGTCACGTGCGATGGTTTGAACAATTTTTGTCGTTTTAAGCAGCCGTCTGTTTGTTTACTTGTTCCTACCACCATGAAATTCGTTTGTTTTTTTTTTTTTCCTGCATTGACGACATGAAGAATTGCCATTCCAGACAGATTTTTCACTCAAAACTTTTGTCCAAATGCTAAAGTACAACGTAATGAAAAAAAACTCTGGAACAGAATTTCAGTCAAACATGGATGATCATTAATGTTAAAATGAACGTATTAGGAATTTTACTTTCATTTGTTTAGGGAAGTACAACCTGAAAGATGGATGTTTCTTAGTGATTTTGACAGCAGATTGATGGGCTTGTCAAAGTAATCATCATCAGAATTATTAGTAGAAGAGTTCTTAAAGGACTTGAATTTTGACTGAGTTGAGGATAAGGATTGCTTTAACGTTATCCTTGGATCACTCGGGGACCTGTTCCTTTCAGTATTGCCCTACAAACTTTTTGGACTTTAATTGGTTGGTTGTTGTAAAACGTCATTTACCACTTCCATTTCTTCAAGTGACCACTGTAAGCCACGTGGTTTCTCCTATGAGTTTGGTCATTGATAATTTCAAGTACGAAAAGTTTGTGGATCCAATTTCCACAAAATTTTCACATCGATTATATTGAATAAAAATCAATCGTTCAACTAAGTTTGCAATTCAACAAACTTTTAATACAAAAAACATAGAATTTAAAATATGATAGTGAAATTCAACAAAATTAAAAGGCAATGATAAAATTCAATAGTATAGTGATAAATTTGATATTAATCCATAAAATTACAATGGTTTGATTTTTATTGCTAAATTTAATGCATCATATTCGTGGATTTAGCTCTTTTATGAATGAAAAGCTATACAAATTGAAAAAGATAAAAAAGATAATAAATTCAATTGGTAATGTTATCTTTATAGCTAGTTATAATATCAGGCATTACATTTGATAATTGCTAAAAAGTTAAGTCTAAAGAAATATTTTCATCTAATGCCAGTTTTGCCTCATGGCAAAGGCTAATAGGCCAAGTAGTAGGTCCAAATTTTATGAAGCTTTGTTATAACAAATTGCTAAAGTCAATATCTTTTTTTTTTTGTTGTTGTTGTTGTTGTTGAAATGGTGCTAAACTCAGTATCTTATAAACAAAGTTATAAATGATTTTGAACCATTTAGAAGTGTTTTAGGAAAAAAAAAAGGTGAAATTAATTTCTAGCAAATCTGAAATACAAGAGTTTACTACCAAGTGTTCAGTTTAAGTATATATTTTTACTTATTTTTATATAAAAAATTATTATTATAGATTGGGTTAATTACATAATTGGGATTTGAATTGTTGAGAAATTTTCAATATAAAATAAAAGATAATAGGTATATAAGAGATTCAAGTGCTTTACCCATAATTAGATTCTAATGAGAGATTTTAAGTTTCTCATTTCTCATTATAAATATTGATTTCAAGATTAAATTTTAATTTAATAAATTTAAAATTCAAATCCTGTAACTATTTTTCTATTTTAAACTGCAATATCTTTTATAAAGAAATAACTGTTAGGACTTGAATATTGAACCATATTTTCTTCAACGAGGAAATCACTAGTAAACTAAACTCGAGATTCAATGGAAAACAAAAAATTAATAGATACCTAAAGATTAAAAGTAAATTAAAGAAAAACTTTTGAGTAGGAGGATTATTACTGCTAGCAATCATTATATCTATTTTTTTTGTAAATAATGTAAATAAAATAAAGTTTTAATTCAATCTTTTCTTTGTAATTTTATATTCCATTCTTCAAATGCAAGATTTGCAATATGCAAATTACGAGTTACATCGTTTATTGAAAATTGCTAAACATTGTTCATACAAAAACTTATGTCGTATTATTGTTCTATAAACTTTTTTATTGAATGAATAATTCCATTTTTTAGGGAGAGGGTGAAACACCCTTAGTGATTACAGCGCACTTGTTCCAAGTCTGGATGCTCTTTGTCACAATCGTCGATTCCTCAATATTTTTGAATTGAGGAAGTTGAAGAGTCCTCTTTACTAATGCAGCATGGCAAATTTTACCTAAGACCATAAGTTCACCACAACATTTGTCAGTGACACTTCCGATTTTGAAGATACTCGTGAAAACATCCATAATACAATTTAGACTCATTTTGGTTTCATTTTCACAATCATATTTCTTGATAATGTCAGCCTCCTCGGTAGCTATGATTACTCCGCTCATTACGAACAAAACCATGAAGCCAAAATAAACATTGAAGCTTGCCATTAGGGTTGATGAGGATCTCTCCACTTTACTTTTGGTTGGAAATATGTTTTTTCCCACGACATTTCCTGGCAAGAAAAGGATTTATTTATAGGTGATCACAACAAAGAAGAAATGAGATTGAAAGATAAAAGTAATTCATTACATTTCTGTTTCAAAAATTAATTGTAAGCAGTTTATAACCTCAAATTTCTTAATGATGTGAGTTTTTTTTTATATTTATTTATTAGCATTAACTTCTTGTAAATATCCAATTAACTCTTTTCTATTTTAGCCTTCGAAACATCTAATGTTACGCCTAAAGTGAGAAAAAATGTAATGTGACAGACCTAAATTTGAAAAAATCAAGGTAATATTTGGTTTCATTTCAAATTAGATGTTTGAAATTAAATATGAAAGATTACCTAATTATAACTTAAACAAAATTAAACAAAATGTCACTAACAAGGTATAATGTAAACCCAAGCGTGCAAGAATAAACTAAACATGTAAATGCAAGATTACCTAATTATAACCTAAACAGAATTAAACAAAATGCCACTAACAAGGTATAATGTAAACCCAAGCGTGCAAGAATAAACTAAACATGTAATTATGCAAAACAACCCTAGCAACAACTTCAATATGAATTCCATATGCTTTGAATTAAATTAAAACTAAAACTAATCTAGCAAACTAAAGCATCATGCAATTATGAGAAAAGAAACAAAACCCAAATTAAACTAAAGGAATCAAAGCACAATCTATTGCAAATAAGACAAATTAAACTTAAGATCATGCAAAATAACTAATTTGATTATGTAAGAACATTTTAGGTTTAATTTAAGGTAGCATTTGGTATCATTTCAAATTAGATGTTTCAAAACTCAATTCTTTTTTTTTTTTTTACATACGAGAGGTATGGAAATAAATGAGAATTCAAAATTTAAATCTCAATCCTCATAAAGAAGATAACAACCACTAGATGAAGGTTGAGTTTTTTCTTATGTTAGTTACTAATTTGAATAAATTTAAATTGAAGTTCTTAATTTTTTTCAATAAAAAAGCTTCTATTTTTTTTACAAACAACAATGCCATTTTTTATTTATTCCAATTCACAATAAAAAGTAAAAGCAACAAGCAAATAATGTCTTAATTATTTTTCTATTTTTAAATGTTTTATGTAAGAACATTTTAGGTTTAATTTAAGGTAGTATTTGGTATCATTTCAAATTAGATGTTTTGAAACTCAATCCTTTCTTTTCTTTTTTTTTTTTTTCCTTTTTTTTGTTACATATGAGAGGTATGGAAATAAATGAGAATTCAAAATTTAAATCTCAATCCTCATAAAGAAGATAACAACCACTAGATGAAGGTTGAGTTTTTTCTTATGTTAGTTACTAATTTGAATAAACATATTTTTTTTTAATAAAAAAGCTTCTATTTTTATTTTTATAAACAACAATCTCTTTTTCAATTTATTCCAATTCAAAATAAAAAGTAAAAGCAGCTAGCAAATGAAGTCTCAATTATTTTTAATTCAAAATTTCTTTTTTTGGATAAGTCAAAACTTCACTGTCATTCCTTGGGCTAAAATAAAAAGAGTTAATTGGATCTCTACGAGAAGAAGTTATTGCTAATAAATAAAAAAAACTCACATCATTAAGAAATTTGTAGTTATAAACTGATTACAATCAATTTTTGAAACAGAAATGTAATGAAATGCTTTTATCTTTCAATCTCATTTCTTCTTTGTTGTGATCACCTATAAATAAATCCTTTTCTTGCCAGGAAATGTCGTGGAAGAAAAAAACATTTTTCCAACCAAAAGTAAAATAGAGAGATCCTCATCAACCCTAATGGCAAGCTTCAATGTTTATTTTGGCTTGATGGTTTTGTTCGTAATGAGCGGAGTAATCATAGCTACCGAGGAGGCTGACATTATCAAGAAATATGATTGTGAAAGTAAAACCAAAATGAGTCTAAATTGTATTATGGAGGTTTTCACGAGTATCTTCAAAACCGGAAGTGTCACTGATAAATGTTGTGGTGAACTTATGGTATTAGGAAAAATTTGCCATGCTGCATTAGTAAAGAGGACTCTTCAACTTCCTCAATTTAAAAATATTGAGGAATCGACGATTGTGACAAAGAGCATCCAGACTTGGAACAAGTGTGCTGTAATCACTAAGAGTATTTCACCCTCTCCCTAAAGAATGGAATTATTCATTCAATAAAAAAGTTTATAGAACAATAATACGACACAAGTTTTTGTATGAACATTGTTTATCAATTTTCAATAATCGTTGTAACTTGTAATTTTTTATATTGCAAATCTTGCATTTGAAGAATGGAATATAAAATTACAAAGAAAAGATTGAATTAAAACATTATTTTATTTACATTATTTACAAAAAATAGATATACTGATTGCTAGCAATAATAATCCTCCTACTCAAAAGTTTTTCTTTAATTTACTTTTAATCTTTAGGTATCTATTAATTTTTTATTTTCCATTGAATCTCCAGTTTAGTTTACTAGTGATTTCCCCATTGAAGAAAATATGGTACAATATTCAAGTTCTAACTTTTTTTTTTTTACAAAAAAAGTCGCAGTTTAAAGTAAAAATAGGGTTACAGGTATTGGAATTGTAAAGAGAAATGAGAAATCTAAAAGATCTCATTAAATCTAATTAAGGGAGAAGCACTTGAATCCCTTATATACCTATATCCTTTGATTTTATATTGAAAATTTTACAATAGTTCAAGTACCAATTATATAATTAATGCAATCTATAATAATAATTTTTCTTATAAAAACAAGTAAAAATATACACTTAAATTGAACACATGTATGCAAAAACAACTGAGAATTAGAAATTTGGAAGTATACACTGAAAGCTTGTTCTTCGAAATTATTAGTACGTATAATAAAACTTGTTTAAGCTTAATTGAGTTTAATTTGGTTGCCATTTTTATTAGTTTATACAAAAAATTTTGAAAATGAAAATGTAAATAAATAATAAAAATACAGTAATAAAAGTATCAATTAAATAGAACCTTAAGTGGTGTTTGATATAAAGTGATCATCCAAAAAATCATAGTGATCTACGTATGATAATTTATATGGTGATAATCTTAAATCACTATCTCAGAAGGAGATATATTTCTCATAAAAAAATGAAAATATTTTTATAATCGAAGGGAAGTCATATGAAAATTTAACTATAGTCACTATTATCCCTTTGATAATAAGTTGAAAATTTTTTCCTCTCAAAATTGTATTGTTTTGTATTTTATGTTTGCAGCTTTACAAAATATTATTTATTGTACCAAATTCAAAAAAAAAAAATGTGTGCTTTCTTTTAAGTTTTTTTTTTAATGTTACGTATAACAAAATTTTTGTTTTTTTATTATAATTCTTTTAAAAGATTTAATTTTATTT